GATTATGTATGTCATTTTCTATTTTGAGACTTTTATGATGTATTTAAATGGGTAATTATGGTTGCAAACTCCATTGGAAATTTGAATTGAGATTATGACCTAATCTTGAGGGAAAGAATTTATTTTTTGGAAAAGGGGGGGGGGGGGGGGGAGGTAAAAAAAAACAATTGGGGGGTAAAAAAGAAATTGTTGGGGGGGACAATTTTTTCTCATTTCAGATTTCAGAAATTGAAAAGAAAATTTCTTCAAATATTTTTTTTTGGGAGGGGTGGGTCAATTAGCAACAGCATAGTGTATTGCACAAAAGCAAAAAATTGAATATAAATTCAAATCATATAACCAATTCTAAGTTCTTTGACTACAGTTATTCTGTGTCAGAAACCTATTATGTTGTCAAATATTTAATTACAATCCAAATTCAGACCTGTATCAAGCGCGAATATTGTGTCCATTTTTGCCCCAACTATTCAGGGTTGAATCTCTGCGGTTGTATCCAGCTGCGCTCGGCGAAGCAATTTATTTTGTATGAGTCAGAAAAATATTTTCGCGCACAGAGCGAACATTTTTTTTTAGTTTTCGACGCTATCAATCAAATTATTTTTTTCAAAATTTAACACCATAAGATATGGGGAAAATCTGGATTCAGAATATTTTTTTTGTCATCTGCTTGACCACACTATTTTTTTCATCGAATTGGGGATAAGAATATTTTTGTAGGAAAAAACCATAACCCCCATCTCCCTTGAAGTTAAATGGTCGGTCCCTAAATGGTGTGTACATTCGGTTCACATGCATTTTGACATCGATGTGTGAGACAAAAAAACTACAATGTCAAAAAATGTCTTTACTTCAGAATTTAGTTCAAACGCGGTTTCATAAGGTGTGACAGATCATTAGACTTTAGATAGTTGATTTACTTTGAGATACGTATCAAATTTTTTATACTTCTTGGAATATTTTTTTAATTGATATAATGTAAGTTTATCTGTGAAAATAGTAGAAAAAAACGAACAGACAATTCGCATAATTTTCAACGTATTTGTTTTAGGATGGCAAATTTGAATTAAATTTTCTTTTATAACAAGACACATGCCTAAGACATCAATGTCTGACTCCTACGGGAAGTAAGAAACAGAAAACAGATTTTTTTAAATTGCTGCCAATTTCATTTTTCCGCTAAAATAAACACAACTTCAGATTGGCAGGTTTTAATATCAGTCCCATTGTTGTCTTTAGAAAGTAGCATCAATGGTCGTTTCTAAGGGCTTGCTTTCCGATTGTAACTGTATTTACATTTTTGATTTTGGACCCTGGTTTCAAAGTCCACATTAAGGTCCATAAGGGTCCAAAATTAAACTTTGTTTGATTTCATCAAAAATTGAATTATTGGGGTTATTTGATATGCTGAATCTAATTGTGTAATTAGATTTTTGAATTTGGGCCTGGTTTTCAAATTGATCCACAATAAGGTCTAAAGGGTCCAAATTAAACTTGATTTGATTTTAACAAAAACTGAGTTCTTGGGGTTCTTTGAGATGCTGATTCTAAACAAGTATTTAAACTTTTGATTTTTGCCCAAGATCAAAAGTCTAAAATTCAGTAATTGATACCCATAGAATTCAGTAAGAAGTGGCAGAGCCAAATAATATCCATAGAATTCAGTGAGAAGTGGTAGGGCCAAATAATATCCATAGAATTCAGTGAGAAGTACGTGGCAGAGCCAAATAATCTCCATAAAATTCAGTAAGAAGTGGCAGAGCCAAATAATATCCATAGAATTCAGTAAGAAGTGGTAGGGCCAAATAATATCCATAGAATTCAGTAAGAAGTGGTAGGGCCAATTAATATCCATAGAATTCAGTGAGAAGTACGTGGCAGAGCCAAATAATATCCATAGAATTCAGTAAGAAGTGGTAGCCAAATAATATTCATAGAATACAGTAAGAAGTGGAAGAGCCAATTAATATCCATAGAATTCAGTTAGAAGTGGTAGGGCCAAATAATATCCATAGAATTCAGTAAGAAGCAACAAAGACAAATAATATCCATAGAATTCAGTAAGAAGTGGCAGAGCCAAAAAATATCCATAGAATTCAGTAAGAAGTGGCAAAGTCAAATTATATCCATAGAATTCAGTTAGAAGTAGCAGAGCCAAATAATATCCATAGAATTTAGTGAGAAATACGTGGCAGAGCCAAATAATATCCATAGAATTCAGTTAGAAGTAGCAGAGCCAAATAATATCCATAGAATTCAGTAAGAAGTGGCAGAGCCAAAAAACACCCATAGAATTCAGTCAGAAGTGGCAGAGTCAAATAATATCCATAGAATTCAGTGGGAGTACGTGGCAGAGCCAAATAATATCCATAGAATTCAGTAAGAAGTGGTAGCCAAATAATATTCATATAATTCAGTAAGAAGTGGTAGAGCCAAATAATATCCATAGAATTCAGTAAGAAGTGGCAGAGCCAAATAATATCCATAGAATTCAGTAAGAAGTGGCAGAGCCAAATAATATCCATAGAATTCAGTAAGAAGTAGCAGAGCCAAATAATATCCATAGAATTCAGTAAGAAGTGGCAGAGCCAAATGCTATCCATAGAATTCAGTAAGAAGTTGCAGTGCCAAATAATATCCATAGAATTCAGTTAGAAGTGGCAGAGCCAAACAATATCCATAGAATTCAGTTAGAAGTGGTAGGGCCAATTAATATCCATAGAATTCAGTTAGAAGTGGCAGAGCCAAACAATATCCATAGAATTCAGTTAGAAGTGGTAGGGCCAATTAATATCCATAGAATTCAGTTAGAAGTGGCAGAGCCAAACAATATCCATAGAATTCAGTAAGAAGTGGTAGGGCCAAAAAATATCCATAGAATACAGTAAGAAGTGGCAAAGTCATATTATATCCATAGAATTCAGTTAGAAGTGGCAGAGTCAAATAATATCCATAGAATTCAGTAAGAAGTGGCAGAGTCAAATAATATCCATAGAATTCAGTAAGAAGTGGTAGGGCCAATTAATATCCATAGAATTCAGTGGGAGTACGTGGCAGAGCCAAATAATATCCATAGAATTCAGTAAGAAGTGGTAGCCAAATAATATTCATATAATTCAGTAAGAAGTGGTAGAGCCAAATAATATCCATAGAATTCAGTAAGAAGTGGCAGAGCCAAATAATATCCATAGAATTCAGTAAGAAGTGGCAGAGCCGAATAATATCCATAGAATTCAGTAAGATGTAGCAGAGCCAAATAATATCCATAGAATTCAGTAAGAAGTGGCAGAGCCAAATGCTATCCATAGAATTCAGTAAGAAGTTGCAGTGCAAAATAATATCCATAGAATTCAGTTAGAAGTGGCAGAGCCAAACAATATCCATAGAATTCAGTAAGAAGTGGTAGCCAAATAATATTCATAGAATTCAGTTAGAAGTGGCAGAGCCAAACAATATCCATAGAATTCAGTTAGAAGTGGTAGGGCCAATTAATATCCATAGAATTCAGTTAGAAGTGGCAGAGCCAAACAATATCCATAGAATTCAGTTAGAAGTGGTAGGGCCAATTAATATCCATAGAATTCAGTTAGAAGTGGCAGAGCCAAACAATATCCATAGAATTCAGTAAGAAGTGGTAGGGCCAAAAAATATCCATAGAATACAGTAAGAAGTGGCAAAGTCAAATTATATCCATAGAATTCAGTTAGAAGTGGCAGAGTCAAATAATATCCATAGAATTCAGTAAGAAGTGGCAGAGTCAAATAATATCCATAGAATTCAGTAAGAAGTGGTAGGGCCAATTAATATCCATAGAATTCAGTTAGAAGTGGTAGAGCCAAATCATATCCATAGAATTCAGTTAGAAGTGGTAGGGCCAATTAATATCCATAGAATTCAGTTAGAAGTTGCAGTGCCAAATAATATCCATAGAATTCAATTAGAAGTGGCAGAGCCAAACAATATCCATAGAAATCAGTAAGAAGTGGCAGAGTCAAATAATATCCATAGAATACAGTAAGAAGTGGTAGGGCCAAATAATATCCATAGAATTCAGTAAGAAGTGGTAGGGCCAAAAAATATCCATAGAAATGAGATGAGCCTTTATAATGCTAATACATATATCATAGACTTGTCATTAGTGGTTTCACTTAAATTGATACAATCACAACCTTTCTCACATGACTTTTGTAAACTGCAAAAGATTCAAAGCCAAAGAACCATATGACTGAGGGGCAGGGCCAAAAAAATATCCATGGAAATAAGATGAGTAAATGCTTATACAAATATCATAGTTTTATAATTAGTGGCTTTCTTTAAATTGACCTAATCATAAACTGTTATTCTGTAGGCTGTTAATTCATTTATTTTAGTGTGTATCAATTTTGTGGATTAAAGTAAGATTGAATTACGTGGGATATTTGATTTCATGGTTTTGCCAAAGTCTGCATATTGTGAAGCCTTTAGAAAATTTGTACTTCGTTGGACATTTAAATTTGTCGGTTACCTATACCAAGGAAATCAACAAAAAATGGTATCCCACAAATAATAAAATGCTCTGCAGTGCGCAGCTTGATATGACCGCAGAGGTTGAACCCTGAACAGTTAGGACAAGTATGCTCACAACATTCAAGCTTGATACAGCTCTGAATTAGGATTGTGATTAAATATTTGACACAGCATTGTAGGTTTCTGACATATGATGAATGTGGTCTAAGAACTTAACCATTTTTAAATGGCCATTACCGATTATGGTCCAATATCCAAAATTTAAATACATGGTTAGATTCATCATATCATAGAACCCAAAAAATTCAATTTTTGATGAAATCAAACAAAGTTTGATTTTGGACTCTTTGGAACTCAATGTGGACCAATTTGAGAACGACACAAAATCCAAAATCTAAATACATGGTTAGATTCAGCATATCAAAGAGCCCCATATATTCAATTTTTGTTGAAATCAAACAAGGTTGATCTAATTGTTTATTTATTTATTTTTGTAGTAAAAAAGGACAAGAAAAATTTAGAAAACACAGACTGCTTGATTGTAGCTTTGTTGACGCATGGTAATGAGGACCATGTGTTTATGACAGATATGTCTGTGAAGATCAAAACCATAATGGATTTATTCAATGCAGAGAGCTGTAAAGAACTTATTCTTAAGCCAAAAATTTTCATTTTTCAGGTATGATAAATTTATATGAGATTTTTTTTCCTCTAGGGATGTTTTATTAACACACTTGTAATTTCTGAATTCACCTGGCCAAAGGCTATGTGAGCTATAAGGAACAGTCAGGTGGGTGGCTCCTTCTGTGTCCTAACATTAACTTAAGAACTGTTCCAATCAATGCTTTTGACATTTTTATATATTTTTATATATTATTACTAACAACAAAATGGAAGTCATTTTTTATATTTACGATTTTTAATTTTGGTGCACTGCAGTAATGTTCCTTAATTGATTGAGAAATTACAATTTATATGGTTTCCATGTTACTATTGACAAAATGGATGTCAAGTTGTATATTGATGATTTTATCTTTTGCTGTTCAGGAGTTAAGGTTTTTGTTTGATTGGAAAATTACACTTTACGTTGATTCAGTAAGACAAAAAAAACCTGCGAATGCTTATCCGGCCCTTTTTTTTCACACTAACACATTGCTCAGCAAGGGGTACTGAAATGGTCTCTGTACATCAGTCTGTTTGTCCTTCCCTAGTTTGGAGAAGATCCAAAAACAGCCTTATAGTATGATGATGTTGAATCCAGTTTTCAATCCAGATCCCTGAAATTTCACAGGAAGATTGCAAATATGGAAAGTTTTATGTGAAATTTTTTTTAATTCAGTTTGAAAGTTTAAGACATACTAATTTTTTACCCTTTTCAACTGGACAAAATAACTACTTAACATTAATATTCATGACTCAAAATTTTTTACATGTAATTTCATCCCCCATCTTGCTTTTTCTTGTCTATATTTGTTGAATATAAAATCTAAAGATAAATGTGTTCCTTGACCTAATAAAATAGAAAAACTTGACTAATTTGAATAAATCTTGGCATGACTTATAGCTTAGTAAATTAAAAGCCAGTTGACAAGTTTCATGACAATAGGATATATTATAGACAATATGGCCATTTTTATATTTGAACTTTAGGTGTCCAATTTTGATGTTTAAATCAAACCATTTCTATCATAAAAATTTTGGCCATAAAAATTGCAAAACGTTGCATAAATTAGCTTTTTCAATTACATATTATATTGTGTTTCATGTAAGTAAAGCAACAAATACTCATTTGATGTATCAGATTTATTTAAGTTATTCAAAGGCTAAATTTATAGGAGCCTGCATGCATGCCTGTGTCTGAAAATGGATATTTTTATATGAAGGGCTTATATGAGAGAGGTGAAAGATGCCAAAGTGATATTCAAACTCATAAGTGGAAAACAAACTGGCAATACCATGGCCAAAAACAAAAAGACAAACAGTACACAAAACACAACAAAGAAAACTAAAGACTGAGCAACAAGATATTATATAAGAATGTAATATTTTCCACCAATTTAAAATTTGTGAAGTTTTTTTATTTAAATCAACAGTTAATAAAATACAACCAATAGGAATGTTTACTTTGACTAATTGGGGGATGAATCTGTGAATTGCAGTGTGTCATTGTGAAACACCAGAATCGGTGTTTGGAGTAGGAGAATCAGTTCTCACTGTATGAAAATAAGGAGATGTGGTATGATTGCCAATGAGACAACTATCCACCAAAGTTCAAATGAAGTGGATGTAAGCACTGTGCCTACTTTAAATGGAAGTTTTTTTAAAAATGTTTAAAGTAAAAAAAAAAGAATCAACTACAGTGAATCAATTGAATCAAATCAAAATCTCTTAAGAAAAACTATAATAGTATATTTTAGGTATGTAGTTATTTCATTATTTAACTGTAATTATAGGCCTGTAGAGGATCTGGGTTAGGACATGGGGTTAACATGAAGGTTACAAGAGATCCAAACCAGGCAGATGCTGGTGCTGTCTACACTGAATATGACAAGACATTTGGAGAAACAATACGTATTCCTAATGAAGCAGATTTCCTAGCAGTGTATTCTACTTCAGCTGGTAGGTGTAGTATATCAATGGTTGCAGTGTTTTAAACTACAAATCCCGGTATTTAGATAAAAAAGATGGTCTTGATCTTATTACAACAAGTTGGTAAAAGACAAAAAAAGCAAAAAACGAAAATAATTTTTCATATAATTTTTTTTTCTTAACTTGTGGTTTCATGTGAATTAAAAATAATATCTATAAAATCTATGCCAGATGCATGTTTCGTTTACAATAGACTCATCAGTGACACTCGATCAAAAAAGTTAAAAGTACAAAATAGAAGAGCATTGAGGACTCAAAATTCAAATGGTCTTGCAAAATACAGCAAAGTAATCTATTCCTAAGGTAGAAGATCACTAGCATTTCGAAAATTTAAAATTTTGTAAACAGTTAATTTATGATAATGACCATATCAATGATAATTCATGTCAACACAGATATCTGTATAGCAAAAACAAATACTTGAGACAATCCTTGAGCTTTTTACAATCAGGAAATAATATATTTTTTCAATGCTTTTAAGGATGTATTGGGACCTATATTGGCTTAAATCAACATTATGATATTTCTAGTGAATAGTTGCCTCATTGGTAATCTTACCACATCTTCTTCTTTATGTATTAAAGCTGTAAAATATTTGTTATTGGGAAAAATTTGGAAATATTTTTTTCTGAAAATACCATTACAAAGATAAAGATAGGATTTATAATGAATAGTGTTTTAGTTATCAATGCCCTATATATACATTTCTGAATTAAATGTTATTTTTTAAATCTTTAATTTAAAATTGTATAGAGATAACTGTTCCATACATTAATTTTGTATAACACAATAAACTTTCATAGACAGCCTTTGTGATATGTTGAGAAAGGGATTGTTAAGTAATATCACTGTATGTGTACAACCATCCAAGTTTTCATCCAAATTTTATTAAATTCTTTGACATTGCTAAATTTGGATGTAAGTTGCCTTTTTTAATATTTTATATTCAACATTTTATACATTGCCTGATGATTTGGGTCTTTGTCAAAGTCTTACTGTAATTTGAAGAAATGTAGATATCTTTATTTCAGACCTTCAATGATCTATTAAGGTCAAGAAACAGTAAATGGGCTATTTCAATTTTCTAAAAATTAAATATATTAACAGAGGTATTGATTTCATCATCTTATTAAGAATATTTAATGACTCAACCATGTCAGAATAGAGGAAAAGTTTTTCAAATTATTCAGATTACCTTAAAAAAAAGTATCAATGAAATTGCATTTACCCCATTTTCTATTATATTTACAAAGTTCAGCTTTGGCACATCTAATGCACAATATCATTTAGTAAACTTAATATGTAATAAATTAAACAATGCATCATATCTGAAAAAAGTTTTGCTGGTTATAGTATGGTTTTCATGTGTTGATGTTTGTGGCAAATGCTAAAAGTTAATCTATTTATAGAGTCTAAATTAACAACCAAAGAAATCTCATTTTAAAAAATAAACAAAGAATATTGCCTTGAAATTAAAAAATGAATCACAAAGAATAAGCATCTCAATTCAAAGATATAAATAATACTATTGTAGGAATTTCCATTCTACATCTATTTATTTATCTGATGTAATTGGAGAAATAAAACTAACCTAACAAATTAAGCTAAATAGGATTGATTGCTTCTCAGCAGTGTAAAGTATGCTAAAACATGACCTTCTTTCTAACAGGTTATGGATCATTCCGAAACACAGAGAAAGGGTCACCATTTGTACGTCATATGTCAGAAGAGCTCCTGAAGATGAAGAAAGACGATGATTTCTACAAAATCTTGACCCGAGTTAATAAAAGAGTTGGAATGGGATATAAACCAAATTATCCAAACAGCGATAATATTACCCAGATGCCTTGCTTCATTTCACATCTTACAAAGGACTTGTATCTGAAACAAATGAATTAGAAAATTCATCCATGCCATGACTTAGTGCTGAACAGACTGATGACAATCATATATTTTTAAATGACTGATTAAAAAAGCAGTTCCAGCTGCTTATCTATTTTCAATAGAAGATATCTGTATATCACGACTGAATACCATATGTATGCAATGTCATTGTTAAAAACAAATTGTTAAAATTAAAAAAAAAATCATTGACATAACTTTAAACATATAGATGTGAAATAACAGCAAACTGGTACATTGTATATAACATGTAGGGTAGCTCTGACCCACATCCATAAAGGTTCATTTTTATTTGGGAATGTTTTATTGATGATTTAACTTTTTTATCACAGTACATAGATTACATTGCATACTATAAAAGTTTCTGACCTGTCAGGATTTATATCATTTCATCTGAAATGCAGTTTGTTGATTGTTCTTCTTTTTAAAAGGTGATAGTTATAATTTGTATGTTTAGTTATAATTTGTATGTTTTAGTTATAATTTGTATGTTTTCACAGAAAATCTCTCACGAATTAAGAAGTAAATGAAAGATAAGCTATTCTTTAATACGTTGTATTTTAAGGATCAGTTTAATGAAGCTAACTGCATGAAATTTGAGCTTTATTTTTTTACTTGGAAATCATAATCTAAAATCTTATTGCTAAGTTGCTAAATTGCAAGCATTATAAGTTGATAAGTTTTGAATATTAAAAATATTAAAAACAAACTTCTATAAAGTTTTGACCAGTATTCATTGTTGAACAATTAAACTAAATAAATGCTTTTCAAAGAAAAAACATAAAACTATAGCCATATTTTAAACTTCTTTCTGCTTTTAAAGTTATGGAAATAATCATTAAAATTGTTTAAATTGTATTTAGGAAAACTTTTTGTGCACTAGTCTGGAGTGCAATTGATTTTCTATGCTGATTGATACTCAGCAACATTCAAGCAACAACCATTCTATTGAGTAATAAAACTTTCAGGCTGATGTAGACACCATATGTACACACAGATGACATTATATTAAGAGCAATTGCACTGCTATTGCACACTACTGTTCATGATTTGCATATTTTTTCAAAGTTATTGTTGAACAATGACCAAAAATGCAAGATTAGTCATTATGATTTCAGGTAATTGCTGCATGCGAATAATGCTATCAAAGGTTGATAGCAAGATTTAATTGTTTTGACACCTATCCCAATTCAATTTTTGCATCAGTTGAAATATAACAAAAATTCCTGAGTTTACAAAATCTTTTGGTTATGTTTCAGAGAATTATATGTTGCCATACACTATTTTGTTGAACTGTATTTATTACTTATTTAACGTACCAGAAATATATATTCTTTCATGAAAATAACATTCTTAACATTAAATGAATGTGATACTTAAAGCATATAAATGTTATAGTAATTTAAAATATTAAGATGACATCTCAATTACATTATAAAGCTCTTCAATAATTTTAATTGGTATTGTTTGATTTTCTATTTGTCTTTATTTTACAAACACATATCTCTTTGATTGTATTATTTTGTTATCACGTTTGACAATATTTTGACAGAATATAGTTTCATACCTCATTATTATTTATTTTTTAAATGGCAAAATAATGTAATGTTTGATATCTGTAATCAATTTATATATGAAATTTTCGATTGATACTAAATTATTTTGCATTATGTTTTGTGAAATTAGTATTCAGAAGAAGAGATAGTCTTTCATTTTAGGTTAGAAACATGGAAAGTTAATACCCCATAGAAAAACTCTGTGAAAAAATGATCTTTAGTGTTTTCAAATTCATGAAATTAGTGCACTTTGAACCTAATTTGCTAAGCTATGATAAAGGAAGCCATTGTAAAAATGCAACTGAATATTTTTTTGTTGAAGTTTAAAAGTCATTCTGTTCATGTAAGTTACAGTTTCATATTTTTAAGACTTATCATTAGAGCTTGATTGGGATTGATAGAGAAGTAATCTTTTAAGTTTTGAAATACAGTAACTAACTGTGATAGGGTTTGCAGTATGGAATTTTAGCTGAGATTTCATTGTGATAGAGATGATGCTCCAGTTATGATGAAAATTATATTCATGAAGTCTTTCATTTTCTTAGGGTAAAGATTGCATGAAATGCAATCAAAACCCCAATGCACTGGCTTGATAGCTATATTTTTCAGGCTTCATCTCTACCTTTAAGAACTAAAACAACAAATTGCAAGGTGATGAGCATTCTTTAGATTCTATACATGTCCATGTCATGCAGTTTATTAATGATAAATACTCAGATATTCAACTTTCAAACGATGTGTATGTGTATAACTATACTTGTTAAGAAAGCTTTTCTTTTGAATTATCAAAAGTTGTGCATGGTGTACGAATCTATCTAGAAATAGATTAAACTATAATTATTGACAAAGGAAGATCAGGCAAATTTCAAATTTGCTTAAATTTGTTTCATTGCTAAAAACAATACATTATCTGATTTTAATATAAAAATAAGGAGATGAGGTATGTGTGTAAATGAGAAAAATATCCACCAGAGTCCAAATGATGTGGCTGTAAGTAACTATAGGACAGCTTACAGCCTTCAACAATGAGCAAAACCTATACCCTTTATTTAGATATACCAGGCCTCGTCATGGCAAAACGTTAAACAGTTCTAAGTTAAGTTCACATTGCAAAATGAAAGCAATCTTTACCCTACATTGCCCACATCACTTTTATGAATATAAATTGTGGTACTGGCTTTGAACCAGGAATACAGATTCTCTGATAATCATTCATCCTGAATAGATTTATGTTATTACTTAGATATGCGATAGAAAAAAAATACGATTTTTGTGCCATAACACTACTCAATAAAATATGATGAACTAAACAGAATTTATGTCAGAAATAATTCAATATTTCAGACTGAGAGAAAGACAAACAAATTAATAAAAGAAGTTCATTAGAGAGCTGGGGTAGATTTAATGTGGAAGGTTGATCGTGAAAATCTGTACTCTTGTCATAACATTTTTTAAGTAAAATCATGTTTAATACTGAATCATTGCAAATGTCATTAAAAACTAAGTGAGACAATATTTTGTTTTTGTTTTTATTCATCTACAAATAAGTTATGTTTATATAAGTGTAAATTGTAAACGAAATTATTGTTTTTTGGAAAATTAATACATAAACCAAAACAAATTTAGGCTGCAAATATTATATGTGAACTACTGTTTATAGATTAAAGGGAATTTTAAAGTCCTTTAAGATTTACTGGTACACCACAGATTTGCCATTTGCCCAATTACTTAAATTATTTTGTTTTGACAGGATTATTTGTTTGATCAGCAGGTGCTGCTGTAATCTTGAAAATTATATGGTGTTGAAATTTAGATTATACAATTCCTTTCTCGTTAACATTCACTATTTATTAATAAATAATAGGGATCATACAATTTTTTTTATTTGTTACAGCTTTTTACATTGTTAATAACTTTTTTGTAGATTTCAATATTTTGTATATTTTTCAAAATAAAATTCAGTCATTTACTCTTTTTGATTAAGCATATCATGTGTTGAACCCAAATCAAGAATTTAAAGTATTTATTTGTATGAATGAAGATGAGGCGATAGTATTTTACCGATATTCAACTCCCATAAATCGATTCATCTTCGCTAGCCAAGGATTACAATCCAGTCCCCTCCTTTCCACTCTTGGCAGATTAAGCCAACATTTGGGAATACAATGCTGCGCCATCTGCCGGTAGATAAAAGTCACGCCCATTCCAACTTTATCATCTGGACCAATGGCAGCACTTGAACACTTCAGTGTGGAGATGTAAAATTGATTAAGTCTAGTGTTTACAAATTTCGTAAAGCAGGAACAGATACTATTCGCTGACATTCAAACATTTGCGCGAAAAACATACACAGGAACTTCTATCAGTTGATCAAGAACTTTAAAATTATTACTAAATATTGTGTGTCTTATGTTTTCGAGGTAAAGACTTGTTGCATAACTAGCACGTGGCAATTGTTTATTTACATTTAATTTTTCTGCATTTACACGTGATCATCTTAAAGGCGCTATTTGATTGGATGCAGCCAGTTACAACTGCTACCAATGGAAATAATTACCTCGTGGATCCGAAATTCTATCTTAATCCGCCAAGGGTGGAGAGGAGGAGACTGGATCGTTAAGAAGAGAGAAATCAAGGCAACAAACAAAAACTAAGGGAAACGCTTTTACCAGCTGTTTATGTTCATTTTGATTGGTAAATTAATTGTTTTACATGCAAGAATATTGTACTAATGAATTTAACCAAAGAATTAAGTTAAAGACACATTCTACTGAAGCTTATATTTTGCCAGACACATGATTTTAATTTTTAACTTCTTGAAATTTTCCTTTTAATGAGTAAGCTTTATGTTTTATGAAAAAGTATTTTTCAGCTTAAAATAAAAGGCCATTAGCATGCATTTGATCAACAAAATGGAAAAGAAGTACTCATTAATGAAAATGCATCAATAGAACATGAAATTGAGTTTTTACATAATCATTTAGATCTCATCCCACAATACGTTTCAATACTTAATGCATGTGCTAAATTGCCCACCGTCCCAGTCCTGGCAAATTATTTATGAATCGAAACATTATTCAATACAAACTATGACCTAGTTAAGCCCTAATTATGTCAGCAATTTCTCTACAAGGAAAGAAAATCATGGTGTTCAATTGTTCAGATTCTTGGTTTTTGTCGCTTGTAACACAGTCTAATATCACACAATGAACAAAAGAAGGAGATAACCAAAGGCGAAATAAAATAAATGTAAAAACCATAAAAGGAAAATAAAACTTCCTTATTCTCTGTCCTATGCTTCAATTGCTTGCTTGTGTATCTATTGAATTGAACTTGATATGATTAATGCCACAGGTATAGTAAGGTCTGTTTCATAAGAACTCTGTTTTTTTAATGGCTAGTTGTCTATTCGTACTTTACCTGTCGGTCATGGTGCTGCCAGTATTTCTCAGATTTGATTTGTTTATTTTATGAATTACTGCCTTGAAACATTTATGACTAGTAATGCCGTTTTTATAAGAAAAGTTGTCAATACACTGAATAGTCCTTGCGGAAAAATGAAATATTTCTACATTGAATTACAAGAATCAAATTAAATCTATCTTACTATTTAGAGAAGCATTTAACCATGCCATTCAAGTTTTGTACTTTCAGTTATTTATGTGTTGAATATTGAGGTCGGAGTTTAGTATTTTGTAGCATCTTTCATCACCAAGTTGATGGTCTCTTTCTTGAATATTTATGTTTTTTATCTGTAGGTTAACTGACGCTGTTTTTGTTTGTTCTTAAGACTGTCAGTGGGAGGTTTTAATCAGGGGTTAGATTGTTGCAAGAATTATTGTTTTCCTTGGAACGTATAAGAATTGTCAATAAATGATTCTAATATATATTAATTCTTAGTTAGAATTAACATGAACGGTACCAAATTTACTGGATCGTTTAAAGTTGAAGATTCTGTATAAACAGGAAAAAACATGTATGCAACGACATATATAAACGATAGTTAACTATGAAAACAATGAAATCATATCGTAGTGACAATATTTCGGCTCAAAAACTTACATTTGTCGTGTCAATTGTTTTTCAAAATTGAACTATACAATGGGAGTTTTAAGTGTGATATAGAGCTCAGGTGATCAGTTTCGTTACAATATCTTTACACTTATATATGTAAATAAAGTTACGGATATGAATTTACTGAAAATAAAATAGACCATGATGTTTGAACTGGAGAAAGAAATATGCCATTCCTGAACTCAACTTGTTTCCTGCAGTACAACCCTTGATGTAGTGGGACGTTGATTTGGCTGTGTGAGATGTATAAATTCGCAGCCACATCCGTTCGGTAAGGGCACATTAAATCCGAGGCCTCAAGAGGGGATAATGGCACGCTCTCTTCACGTTAAAGATCCATTGGAAGAACTCTCTGATCGGTCCGTAGATGGCTTGTTGTAAGGCAATATTTCTGCTCTTTTCCAACAAACCCTCGTTTTTTTGTCGAGCCTGCGACTTTTGTCGCAGAAAGCTCGACATAGGGATAGCGATCCGGCGGCGGCGGCGGCGGCTACGGCGGCGGCGGCGGCGGCGTTAGCTAACTTCTTAAAAGCTTTATATTTTAGAAGGTTGAAGGTCTGGATGCTTCATACTTTGTATATGGATGCCTCATGTTACGAAGTTTCTGTCAGTCACATGTCCAATGTCCTTGACCTCATTTTCATGGTTCAGTGACTACTTGAAAAAAAAGTTAAGATTTTTTGTAATGTTAGATTCTCTCTTATTATAAGTAATAAGATAACTATATTTGGTATGTGCGTACCTTGCAAGGTCCTCATGCCCGTCAGACAGTTTTCACTTGACCTCGACCTCATTTCATGGATCAGTGAACAAGGTTAAGTTTTGGTGGTCAAGTCCATATCTCAGATACTATAAGCAATAGGTCTCGTATATTCGGTGTATGGAAGGACTGTAAGGTGTACATGTCCAACTGGCAGGTGTCATCTGACCTTGACCTCATTTTCATGGTTCAGTGGTTATAGTTAAGTTTTTGTGTTTTGGTCTGTTTTTCTTATACTGTATGCCATAGGTCTACTATATTTGGTGTATGGAATGATTGTAAGGTGTACATGTCTAGCGGGCAGGTGTCATTTGACCTTGACCTCATTTTCATGGTTCAGTGGTCAAAGTTAAGTTTTTGAGTTTTGGTCTTTTTTTCTAATACTATGTGCAATAGTTCAACTATATTTGGTATGTGCGTACCTTGCAAGGTCCTCATGCCCGTCAGACAGTTTTCACTTGACCTCGACCTCAATTCATGGATCAGTGAACAAGGTTAAGTTTTGGTGGTCAAGTCCATATCTCAGATACTATAAGCAATAGGTCTAGTATATTCGGTGTATGGAAGGACTGTAAGGTGTACATGTCCAACTGGCAGGTGTCATCTGACCTTGACCTCATTTTCATGGTTCAGTGGTTATAGTTAAGTTTTTGTGTTTTGGTCTGTTTTTCTTATACTGTATGCCATAGGTCTACTATATTTGGTGTATGGAATGATTGTAAGGTGTATATGTCTAGCGGGCAGGTGTCATTTGACCTTGACCTCATTTTCATGGTTCAGTGGTCAAAGTTAAGTTTTTGAGTTTTGGTCTTTTTTTCTAATACTATGTGCAATAGTTCAACTATATTTGGTATGTGCGTACCTTGCAAGGTCCTCATGCCCGTCAGACAGTTTTCACTTGACCTCGACCTCATTTCATGGATCAATGAACAAGGTTAAGTTTTGGTGGTCAAGTCCATATCTCAGATACTATAAGCAATAGGTCTAGTATATTTGGTGTATGGAAGGACTGTAAGGTGTACATGTCCAACTGGCAGGTGTCATCTGACCTTGACCTCATTTTCATGGTTCAGTGGTTATAGTTAAGTTTTTGTGTTTTGGTCTGTTTTTCTTATACTATATGCAATAGTTCAACTATATTTGGTGTGTGGAAATATTTTATGATCTATTTGGCAGTCACGCAGGTTTTATTTGACCTTGACCTCATTTTCAAGGTTCATTGCTCAGTGTTAAGTTTTTGTGTTTTGGTCTGTTTTTCTTAAACTATAAGCAATAGGTCAACTCTATTTGTTGTATGGAAGAATTGTTAGCTGTACATGCCTGCCTAGCATGGTTCATCTGACCTTGACCTCATTTTCATGGTTCATTGGTCAATGTTTAGTTTACTTGGTTAATGTTAAGTTTATGTGACAGTTGTAATAAAGCTTTATATTTAGGACTATCAACATAATATCAATGATTAGTAAAGAAGGCGAGACATTTCAGCGTGTGCACTCTTGTTTAATTTTTCAATGTATCTATTTCGTTTTCTGAGTCAGTATTAACATAAAAGTTACCAAATTTACTGCACAAAATGCGCATTTCGACAATACTGTCTCTTCAGTGATGCCTCGATTTTTAAAAACTAATATAAGAGTTTCAAAAGAAACAACTAATTAGAAATTCATTCATTTTCCATCAGCATCCTTCATCCCGGTTGGCCTTACTGCGGAACACTTATGGATTAATTTGTTCTTTTCTCTTAATATGCATGAAATAATTGACACTGTACGGTAGCGGGCACCAATCTATTAAAATAAAATAGAAAATGTTTCAACAAATTCTTCAAAAATAAAAACACTCTAAACAGTTCTTTAACGTTGTCATGCTTGTGAATGTCCTTGACGAATTGTTCTTTCAACAAACTGTTTGTCTGTCGTTGAGGATAGTAATATTACCATGAATCACCATCGATTTTTTTTCATTACATGTATCTAAGTATATGATAACTTTACAACAAACATTCTCCATCGTATAACATAAGGTTCAAGACTTGACATCGTGGTAACACTGCCTTCATTTGGTCCATCGTCTCTGACCACTCGGTCAAATATTCTAAAATATAGCCTAGATGTATAAAAAAAATAATGTGACTGCATGGTAAGTATTATCATAAATAAAAAGTTGAAACCACCAACTTCAGAGCTTTAAACATGATGGTTTAAATGAAAAAAATGAAAAACGGTACAACAGGAGTACGTTTTTAGTATGGTATCGTCCTCAACATCTTAGTAATATTGGACGTTGCAAACTAACCTGATAACAGCACTGTTTTTTCTGAAAACAAACGAAAATAGATTCGCTAGTACAAACTGTTTTTTAAGCTGAAAAAGCTTCCTTTCAGCATCCAATTTCACCTAGAAAACATGCCTGGTGAAGCTAGTTTGTCTAATAAAATATTGAATTTATTAATTGTCACATTGTTAATATTTTATATATCTACATATCAAAAAGTAAAATAACAAATATAACGAACTCTAAGGAATATTCAAAACGAAAAGTCCCTTATCAAATAGCAAAACCAAAAGCTCAAACACTTAAACGAATGGAAAACTACTATCATATTCCTGACTTGGTACAGGCATTTCCTTGTGCAGTAAATGGTGGATTAAATCTGGTTTTATAGCTAGCTAAACCTCTCATGTGTATGACAGTCGCATAAAATTCCATTATGTTGAAAACAATGTGTAAACAAAACGAAAAAACATAAAGGGTAAAAATGTCAAAAATAGTGTGTTTAAATTACATTGCAAAGCAATCGATATATTACATACCCTATGTAACCTACTTATTTTCGTATTTTCTTGTCACGTTTACTTCTCGGAAAAAGAACAGACATTTCGTGTGCATGTATGAATAGTCTGTTGTTTTAACCCTATTGGTTATATGCATTTTTCATTATGCTAAATGTGTAATCTGTATTGTGTGATGAGGAACCAACAATTGATATAAGTTTTAGCAATAATAAGGTTTTATAAAGATACATATCTTTGTGTTTGTTAAGACCGAAATTTTATCTTAATACTCTAAGTAAATATACATGTATTGTTTCAATAACCCTACACTATTACAAAAGTTCGATTTATTTCTCGGATGAAGAATGATGTAAAATTCACAAAAAACAACAATAGATAGGATTTTGAACAATTTTCATTGCATATTTTTAATTCATTTCCGATATACTGTAAAAAAAACTTTGTCGTGTCGATGAGCTTGACAAATACTATTAGTTTAAATGATCTTGAAATTTTGAATGTCAATTAATTAAACATTAAGAATATCTTGTATGACTTGATCACTTAATAGCTTTCTTCATAACACTAATTGAGCAGGAATGAACTGGATTTAATAGTAACATCCACGTAAATTTTCAAACTGCCAGTAACATAGTACCAGTATTTGGCAGTATTCTAAATTTATACTACCAAGACTGAAATTTCCTTCACATGATATGCTATACTTTTGTGAAAAACAAGTCATGTGTGCTTAAAATATGACTGATATAATCCACAAATAGTTCTGACCACTTAATATCGTACTATGTTTTGGGGGTAAAGACTTGCTAAACAATCAGCTCTTGGCAATTGTTTATTTATATTATCAACATTTACACGTGATCATGTTAAAGGCATTTTTGATCGGATGCAGCCAGTGACAACTGCGACCAATGGAAATCTTTACCCCATGAATCCGAAATGTTATCTTAATCCGGCAATGGTAGAGAGGAGGGGACTGGATCATAACCCTTGGCTAGCGAAGATGCATCATCATCATCATCATCATCATCATCATCATCATCATCATCATCATCATCATCATCATCATCATCATCATCATCATCATCATCATCATCAAAAATCAAAAGAATGGATATATTCAGTTCCAAGTTTATGTACCTTTTCAATTTACCAAATTTTATTTATTCACGTCAGAACAAGTCTTGTTTTACTTTGACGTCTTTATAAAATGAATGTTATAATTAATATTGAGATTAGGGTTAAAAAAATGCAACAGTAGTATACCGCTGTTCGAAACTCATAAATCGATAGAGATAAAAACAAAGTTAATATAGTTTCAGAGAGAATATCCTGCATAACTACTTCCAAGAGAGATTTATATGTCGTGTTACATGGACTGATAATTTTACATTATAAAAAACATGTTTTATCACCTGGTGACTAATGAAAAAATACATATTTTAAAAAGAATCCTGTCATTGTGTTCTTTCAGTCAATACAATACACCACAATTCTTCTTAGTAAGTTAACTTAAAAAAGTTATAAGGAAACAATTCTTCTATTTTGTATGTATGTTTTATAGATATAAGACCGCGACAATATGTCTACACAGTATTTTTCACATAATCCTGCTGACATTTTATGCGTCAGAGGCATACTGTCCAATGTGAACATTCATGCGCGTAACGTATCATCAAACACCAAACAACGAAACAGATGTTACGTTATTACTGACAAATAGAAAGTTGACAGTGGGAAAACTAAAATACTACGTTTGTCATAGATCTAGATATGAAAGTTTCGGTACTATCATTCCTGTCAGGTTCACTGGAATATATGAGATCCAAGCACTTATTGAATTATTGGTTGACCCGACATTTTCAATATATCTAAAGACGAACAAAATAACTTCGAACGATGCTTTTTTGTCTTCGATACAATTTGGTAGAAATTCTGCGGTATATGAACACACACATTTTGAATCCTTTGAATGCACTATTAGTACGTATTGAAATAACGACTTGTTGCTGAATTGCACAATTATATATATACCATTTCCGTTCTACCATACACCATTTACTATCCTAAAACCCTATATTAAGCCATTAAAAAAGGCACTACCATAATGACGAGAGTATTATTGTATAGCCTAGTTGACACAGCTGAACACACTGCATGTGGTGTTGCATTTGATGTGCGTGTTCGAATGACTGTGTATTGGAATTATGTGTGAAAGATTGAAATAAATTTGTAATTGAAAAAAGTGTCGTAGGTAAAACCCGCGTCGGAAAATATTTTAAACCTGGTAAATTAGTCTTTTTTTTCTTGAAACTCCGAAACTAATTTTGTGATTTTGTAATATTATATGAATTATCATAGAGTTAAAAAAAATTAAACTTTCCTCTGATGATTTTAAGCCAGAAACTGTTGCCTATTGAAATTATGCCAAACATTCTTCACCTTATGTATCTCCCATATCTTTATCATAACTGGTTTTTTTTTCAATCCATGCTTGCGAATCGGAAAGTAATTTCCACAAGATATTAGTTATATAACATTATATTGACAGCATTGAAATGTATATCGAAGAAGGTTTATCCATTGAAACCTTGCATTGTATTTAATCAAATCTGGCATATATGATACTCATTACAAATATTGTACCGGATAATTTAAAGGTCATCGGTTATTTGTATACTGTGAAAAAAAACATAACTGCGATATGTTAATTGGCGTAACTACGATCCCGTCCTCTTTTCCTCGAATGTGACCAACCGAATTAGACTTATCACCGATTTTGTACATGAATAAGCAACACGACGGATGTCACATATGGAACAAGATCTAATCACCCTATCGGAGCACCTGCGATAACCTCCAGGTTTTATTATGGGATTCGTGTTCCTCAGGCTTTAGTTTTTCTATGTTTTGTTTTTTGCAGTGTTGATTGTCTTTTTGTCGTTTTTTTTACGCCATGACATTGTCAATTTGTTTTTGGCTTATGATCAAATTGAGAATTGAAATGGGGAATGTGTCAAAGAGACAATAGCCCGACCAAATAGCAGAAAACAGCCGAAGGCCACCAATGGGTCTTCAACACAGCGAAGGCGGACTTCAGCTGGCCCCCAAACAAAAATGTGTACTAGCTCAGTGAAAATGGACGTCATACTTAACTCCAAAACATATAAATGAACTATGAGTTTGAATATCCCTTTTTTTTATATCTTAAACCTCTCTCTTTTAACGTAGCATTTATGATAACACATGATATAAGCATTTGAATAAGCTATAGTGGATTTTTTTTTTTTTTTTCATAGCGATTAAGTTGGTCTTTCACTACTAAATTCATCTTAAACTTGAACTAAAGATTTTGAAAATACTTGGAAATATTAACTTGCTGTGCATTATTCATTTTCTATACACTGATCATTATTTACGTGTCAACATTGTCTATATTTTAGGTTTGAATGTTATTTTAATTTCTATTCCTACAGAAAACACATTAAAGTGGTAAATGATATGTATCAACGTTAAGTTATAATTACCACCATCGGTACATTCTTATTATAAATACAACATGTCTCGAAAAGTCAAAGTAATCTTGACCTATCTGTCATACATTGCCATCTCCTTTTTAAGTTTTCACATTACTGTCATTTGTGAATGTTGATTAAGATTTTCATATATTTGTCTTACGTTTTTATCTAAAATAAGCATAGGTGCCAACTATTAAGATACTGTTGAAAGTCTCCCAATATTTTTTCAGAAACAAATTGTAACTTCCCATTGAGACCTATCTACGGGAAGCAAAATGTGGGGTCTTATTATATGGACTTCATTACAATTTAGCTTGATAAAAGGTTAAGAGTAAAAATCAATTAAGCTGTGTGATGAAATTTATACAAATGATTATATTCTTAATAACATAGACCTGTGCAGGTTATTTTGGACTATTTGATATTTAGTCAATATCACTTTTTAACATTTTAGGGTATGGAAAAAACCCAAGACACGTTGGATGCCGTATCTGGTAACAAAGGAGAAACATTAACAAAAACAACCATTACCAATGGAACAGAAAGGTACATGTTTACTTAATATTTTATCTTAGTTCTGTCTTAATTCACTTTTCTATTGAATGATACCCAACTTTTTAATTGAACTACATTGAAAGGCGTTTGTAGAATTACAATTCTACTTTTTACATGTATGACAACACTTATCATTAATTTATCATAAAATGAGTCTACAAGAATGCATTTGGTTTTGGGTTAGCATCACATATTAAGATGAAATAGTTTATTGCATTGAATATATTTGATTACACCAAAATCAATTTAGATAGCATTAAAAGTACCAATTTTACTGTACCAGATTCACATTTCGAAAATGAATTCTTCAGTGATGAGCGAGGCCAACACATCAGAAAGACATTAACCTAATACAAAGTTTGAAAATATTTTTCCTATTGAAAAACATGCAGAATAATCTTAAAGGGGTATATACAAAAACATAAAAAGAATTGGGTAGTCATATTCAATTGTATTTGATTTATGGTTCAGACACTTGTCCTTTGGTAAAATGAAGACTCGACTTCAATAATAATGAATAAATCAAAAATAAATTGAACAAAGTAAAAAATAAAGGATCTGCTTCTAAAGTAAAAAAGCCACACTGGCCATTTCAGCTGATATAACTTTTATTTTCTTTAATATAAATTGAATTTCATGTTGTAGTAACTCAGGACAAGGTAAAATAGCCGAAGAACATTTGAATCAAGAAGAATATACAATTAGTTCTGGGATAGCTGTTGTGATCAATAACATTACATTTGATACCAGATTGAAATTAGGTGATCGTGTAGGAAGTGATTTGGATGCTTCATCTTTATTCCAAAGATTCATGGAACTTGGTTTCGATAGTGACCTTTTGAATGATGCCACAAAGAATGACATGGATATGAAATTTGATGAGAGTAAGACTTTACGAATTATACAGTTTTAATGTGCTTTTTTTTAAATCAGAGTTATCAACTTTTCTGATAATGTTTTAATATGTTTGCTTAAAAATTTAAGTTTTTTTTTCTTCTCTAACATCAGGGTCCATTCTAATGTGTAAATTTTTTTTTTAGATTCTTTATAAGTTGATAAATTGGCAAAAAATGATAGCAATGATGTCTCATCTGTTCTCCCAGATTTTGATGGAAAAAACATTCAAATAATAAATCATTATTAAAGAAGAACAAAACTTGCCAGAAGTCATATATGAAAGGCGCTTTATTAAACAAATTTTCAGTTCTAATTGTTATAGGATCATGCGGAAAACATGGCAACCAGAGACAATTCTTGGCTGAAACATGTCAATTTGTGATTTTCCTTTTCTGTGGAAACAACAAAATCATATCTTATCAAACATGTGTGTATTGATTAATAGGGACTCTTTTTTAATAAATCACAATTTTAAACTGATCAGGTTGCATATGGTGGTAGGAATTCTTTTCATGTTCTATTGTACTTTATTTGACATTGCAGCCTTTTAATTCTAGCAGCAATGATGAGTCTTTTGAGACGAAACACGAGTCTGGCGTACAAATCATAAGCGTGGTATCTTTGATTAGGTCACCGCCTCGTTAATCTCGCGAACGCGTGTTCGCCTCGAGTGCGGGAAGTCGTTGGTTTGAACCCAAGGCCAGGTCAAACCAATGGCTTTAAAATTGTTAGTTGCTGCTTCTCTGCTAAGTAAGCGGTAATAAGGAATAAGAACAAAGACTGGTCAGCCGGAGTCAGAATAATGTATCAGGATAGAGTGACAAGTGTTCCTACGGACTGTTACCTTGAGAACTAGAAAAGTCTGGCTCAGCGTGTCGGTCTAGTACAAAGCAGGATAAATATTCATATTACACTAACATGTTCTCGTCCTGATAATGCATTGAATTTTACGCTGAAAGTTAAACATCCATCATCATCATCTTTGATTATGTTTTTCTAACCATATGGGTAATAACATTTTGGAAATAACATTCTTTTTGTTTTGCCCTGGCATATCATGTTACCAATACTGGTGCTTCCATCATTCCAAAAGTCAAGAGCTGTCCTTACTTAATTTTATACAGACAAGATAATTTTTTCTCCCCGATTTTTTGTTTTGCAGTTACTACGATAGAAATCAGACAAAAGTAGAATTATTATATTTATGGATGACTTTTTTGTTCATTTTCTTTTATTTCGTTTATATCGGCAAAACTATAACTCTAATTAGGAATTCTTTGTTGTTATTGAAATATCTCAAATTAGAAATGAAAAAAATATTTTAGCTCAAAATTTTATTGGTGCTTGATGATTGATTGCATTACATAAATGACCATAATGAAATCAAAACAAGGTGAACAAAGAGCCTAGGGAGAAAAACCAGAAAGTCTTTTGCATTTGTAAATAAAGACATTCAAGCCAATTAAAATACCCACCGAGACCTCGGAAAACATATACAATTAAATCATACTTTGGTACGAATTCTTTTAACTGACAGAGTTTCTATTGAAATGTTGACTGACTGGTAGCGGACTTTAATTTGTGCTGTACCACAATGAAATGAAGTTTTTGTATAACAAATGTTGAATTAAGATACTAGATAAAACAAAATCTGTAATAAGTTTAAATGGCCTTTTTCTATCAGGATAATTTGCTCTCAAGAATAACTGATTTCTCAACAAAAAGTTATACTAAAACCAACCAGCTAATGAAAAATAAATAAAGATGATTTTGTCAATTAAAAAAAAAATCGGATTTCGCTATACTTTAGGTCCATTTTTGTTTAATCGGCCCTTCAACGTTTATAATTAGGTTTTATATTTTCAAAACATGTGGCCTCAAGCATCACCAAAGAGACATTAATTGTCGAAATGCGCATCTGGTGCGTTTAATATGTACGTTTAATCTTTTTTTCAATGAATCAGTTGAAATCCTTAAAATTATAAAAAGGCTTCGCTAACTATGTAAAGTTATTTTTGCAGTTATAAAAGACAAGGAAAGCCTAAAGACTACAGACTGTCTGATTGTAGCTTTGTTGACACATGGCAATGAGGACACTGTGTATATGACAGATACGTCTATCAAGATAAAATATGTGATGGATTTCTTCAATGCAACGAAATGTCCGGAACTTGTTCTGAAGCCAAAAATTTTCATATTACAGGTAATTTAGTTAATCACAGATTTTTCCAGTACAAGAGAGGCGAAATATACCAAAGGGACAAGCATATAATTATTTTATACAGCGATACAAGCTTGATATTTTGATTTAGGAACAAACTTAAGCTGTGGAAACATATCTTGCTTTGATTTAAGATTTATTTTCACAGTTAAGCCAAAAATAAACAGTTTATACTAGGTTTTTCTGTTAGGTCTAAGTAATTTATTGTTCTCATCATTGTTTTATTTCAGGTCATCATTGTCTTCCTGCCGTACAATGCGTTATCTAGATATAAGCTACATGTATGTTCCATAAATGCTGTTTTTGTTTTTATTTTTTAGGTAATGTTGTTTTTTTTTAACGACTATATATCATTTACTTGTAACTGTTGGACTGGTTCAATGTATTTAAAACAAAACTTTTATTTCATACAAAGTATAAAGTAAATTTATTGTTTGACTATAATTATAGGCCTGTAGAGGATCAGATCTGGGAGGTGGTGTAGAAAGGCAAGTTATAAAAAATAAAGATCCAAACCAGGCAGATGCTTCTGCTTCGTATGTGGAGTATGACGAGAAATTCGGAGAAACAATACGTATTCCGAATGAAGCAGATTTCCTAGCCGTGTATTCTACTTCAACTGGTTAGTGTAGTATATCAATGATCGCATTGATAGATCTTAATATTAATCAATGTTCACCATGTGGCATATTCAATTTATGTATGGTTATCTCTAGGTTATCATTGCAGTCTTTACTGTTATCGTCTTGGATTCATGGTCCTTCATTGTTAAATTGCTATTTTACATAGATGTAGCAAATGTAAAATAAACAACGAAATCATGCAGAGTTCAGCTACCAACATCATGACTAATAACTTGAACAATGAGGTTACAAACGGCTCATAAATTGAAAAAAGTCAACAAAGATAATACGCATATAGCATATAGTTTGTTACACCAGATTTGTTTCGTCTCCATAATCCTATTATTAAATCAGTTGCGCTCGAATAAACATAGGTGAAAGGTCAAAACAAACACGAAGTAGAAGAGCATTGCTAGTAAAAAATTCTTGAAAATTGTACCACATACGACTAAGGCAGAAAAGCCTTAGACATTTGATATATTTTATTATTATATTTATAAAGCTGTTATAATTAGATTTATAAAACTTTTGGGTTAATAGAAGTATCAAGTCTAATAAAACCTTATAAGACTACAAGCAAACAATACACGCGAGAATAGTGTCTCGTCTACTCAAGGTTTACAATTGGCTCTCAAATGAAAACTGTCGAAAAGCCAAACAAATTACTAAGTTAAAGAGCACAAAAAAAAACATAAATCCAAAAGTTGTTCCATGTCTGTCATAGGCAATCCACGCCTTTTAAATGACCTAACAATTTCAACGATAACTGTATATGAAATGATTGCATCAATAAACTTGGGATTATCAACAGTAAGAAAATGTTTTCCACCACGATATTAATGCTATTATTGTTTAAAATGTAAATTAATTTGTTGTTCTATTTTCTTTCTGACGTTTTTCCATGATAAATTATTTCTAACAGTAAAGAAGAATCGATAATGAAAAGTGCACAGTTAGTACCAATCTCACCATTCCAAACAATAATATTGTCAAGCAATAATATTAAAGTCTTTCTGTGCATGTCTAGGAACAATGCTTTTTCTTTTCGTCTGATTCAACTCAACATACCCAGGTTATTGTTACACCAGATGAATTCAAGACTTTATTCATCAGATGCCTATCCATTTATTTTATTTTTGTCAGATAATGTGGAAGAAAACTGTATAAAGGTTTCCCTTTGTAAATACAGCTGTTTCTCAAACCACGCCTCTTTTGGAGAGATATAGAATATTCATAGATAATTAATTTTGTTTACATACTGGTTCCCAGTTATGATCTCTATGTTTCATCTCATAGAGACATAACTTGGGAATGTTACCAGTAAATATACATATGCATATTGTTTATATTGAAATCTGTGGTAATCCTACAGTTAAGGTAGGGGTAGTTAAGAATTTTAGTTTTAGTTTAAACTCTTAAAAGTTCGGGGCATATAAACGTTGAAATTATGCCGCACAGCCCTATATTTTGACCTTTAGAAAAAATAGTAGTGCATATGAACTTTCCATTCTAAGATATGATTTTTTTCAAAACTTCATAGTAAAAGTTGTACAGTTTTAGCCGTAAAAGGAGTTCCGATGGGAAATTGCATTGTCAATATTTACAGAAATGCAACCTAAAGTAGAAATATTATAATTGTCCACAGAGTTAATTTCGCAATCAGACGAACGTACATTTTGTAGAAGAACACCTGGTAAAAGCAATAGTTTGAATATATATCTGTACGTCTAAGAATTCATGCAAATCTTTTATAACGTTCCAACACCCTCTGTTTTATTTCTATGATACAGTTTCATAATGTGGATGTTACTCAGCTCAGTTGTTAAGCCAATATTTGCAGCGATAATTATAAAATGAAATTAACATACATGCATTTTCGATTTTTGCCATGGCCTTGTCAGTTTGTATTCGATTTATGAGTTTTCGTCATTTCCTTAAAAATGTTCTTGGATATATGTCTTACCACAGAATATAGAACAAACAGGCATAAGTGTTTTAGTTTTTTCGTGTGATTGGTTGCTGGTTCCTTGACGTTAGAACAACATCTCCTTTTATTCAATATAATCTGCCCTAGGAATGGCTACAGTATAAAATTCAGTAAATTAAATCATGCAAGCTGTTTGAAAAATATGAAAGTAAAACCATACATCAACAAAGTTTTGATTTTCATTTTTCTATAATTATCATAACTTTGTCTTGAGCCCACTCAAGAAACAATTCTGATTTGATTCTCATGTATAATGATTTTTATGTGTTCCTGCTATAACCGAAACAAACCATCCGTGGTTTAACATATTTTTGTCTTAATTCATTGAGAAGATATTTTTGAAATTACACTGGGAATTACATAAATAGATACAAAAAAACAGAGAAAATAAATTCCGAAATTCATAATAAAAAAAAGTCTCACTAAAAAATATGCAATATATATATACATGCGTACAACAAAATAATAATATCTGAAAAACATAAAACTATAATATCATATTACATAATACAATAGCTTCGTCTAGGGAGGGATCAACTCAGTCAATATAAGGAAATGAAAATATTAACTGTAGCATATGCAACATAAGCTATCAGAAATAAAGATGTTCATAAACAAAAACTGACATAAATAACCAAATTAGCTGACTGAAATTTTAATGAAAATCTAACAAATATTTAAAATAATAATGAGTTGAAAGAGGGTAGAGGGAAGGAAAATTACACAGTCAATAGATCTTTGTGCAAGGCCCCCAATGGTATTTGCAAAAGTATAATTGGAATCAAAGCCAATGAACCCCCTCTTTTGCACATATATATAGTCAAAATAAGTCGCCTTTACGCTTTCCTCCTACAACCGAAACAAACCACCCGAGATTTAACATAACCTTGTCTTAATTCATCAAGAAGCTACTTGCGACATTATATTGGGCAATGCATAAATGAATAAATGAATGCAAGAAAGCAAATTGCGAAACTTTTACTTATTCATAGTAAACAATTTATCAAAATATAAAATGCACAATATATACATATATATATATATATATATATGTTTTCTCAAAGCAGACATGTAGCGAACAAAAAATTGCTCCCTTATCTATGAAGACAATTAAGTCAAAATTATTTGATTCCAAAAACCTTTAAACTGCTCTCTGGATTTGGTTAGAAATAAATAGAAAAAATATCTTCCTTTTTGAGACTTTGATACATGCATGAAGGAAATTAAAAAGTTATCAAACCCTGTTAAGATGCAAATCATTCTTATTGTGGTACATAATACGAGACCGTAGTTTCAAAAGTGATAGAATTTTAAATTAACTCCCTCAGGCTAAGTTGGTCCTAGATGGATATAGCTTTTATCTATAGGTCCCTCTTTGTCTTATTACTCTTTCCATGTTTAGGTTCATATACAACCTTGGCTTTCAAATATTTGGCTTTGAGCGTCCCTGGTGATGGTAAATAGATAAAAAAAAACGCTTCGGACGTAAAAATTTTATGTAGGGTTAATTCCAGTGTTAATTTATTTTTTTATGTAGTTGCTTCATTTTTTTAATTTGAAGGCTGTTCAGACAATTGATTATTGTATTAAGGTGTCGGACAATTTGATGTAATTCAATCAAAATTGACAACCACTGCATGCATTTAAGGAAAACAATGTTTCTGGTGTTCATTTAACCTGAAACCTGAATCCCAAATGATATACAATAGTCATAATATTCGAAGTTGTTATACAATCCGGAATTTAAACAAAATTTATAAGTGATTGCCTCTTAATCAGAGCTTCAATACGACATCTGCGTGTTTTAATATTGAACTTCATATTCTTTATAAAGGTTACGGATCTTTCCGGAACACACAGACAGGGTCACCATTTGTACGTCACTTGTCAGATGAGCTTCGAGAGATGACGAAAGGTGAAAATTTCTACAAAGTATTGACCAGAGTTAACAGAAAAGTTGGAATGGGGTATAAACCAAACCATCCAAGCAGTGGTGTTGTTACTCAGATGCCTTGTTTTATTTCACATCTTACAAAAGACTTGGTTTTTAAACAGAAAGATTAGAACATTCATCCACACCATGAATTCGTGCAACAAGACTGGTCACAAATATAGAAATTTACAATGTTTAAAATACAATTTCATTTGAGAATTTAACTTTTAATTGAACAGTTGCGCGTATATTACACATGCAAACCATGCATTATTCAAAATATATTTTCTTTGAAAAAAAAGAGCAACTGAAACGATGGTTGATATATACATGAGCATTACGATGTTAACAACCTCCAACCTGCTTATTTAACTATGTGGTAGCATTATAACACCTGAAAATAAATACACCTGTTTACAACAAGAGTGTCTGCCAAATGGGAATAACTATTATTTTATATGAAATGCATTTTGTATATTATCTTGCAAATTTTAAAGATGGTAGCTTGTCAATCCTGAATGAGAAGATTATAGAAGCCAATCAATTCTGTAAAATTTAATACATCAAGGTTCCGATTAACTTAAGTAACTATAATTAGTGAAACTTTTTCTTTTGCACTTGGGTAGTTTCTTATAAGTTTGTTTGGTTATTGCATGCTAGTACTTATAATTTCAATTTAATCCAATTATAACCATTAAGACATTTATAAAGTTGTGGTCACAGTAAAATGTATATAGTAAATAATTGTTTACTCACTTACTTATATCTAAAAAAAGTCCTTGTGCATAGGAATATAATGCTCGAATTCTTGAGTTAATTGATTCATGGAACTGTCAAATAATCATGAAATCATTAACCATAAGTAATAAATTGTGATTGAAATATTCAGAAAAAGACAGACTTTCGTTTTCGGTTAAAAATATAACAATTTAAAACTGACAAGACATTATGAAAGACGAATTATAATCAGTTGATATGCCAATATGCAAGTAGCATGGGTAAGTGTAACCTTAACCACATTTCGTGTGTATTTTATCTTGGAATTTAAAATTTTATGTAGGTTCCAGTTGTAGGCATGCTATTTGAAAATGCCCATTCAATCTCATTGTGAGATAATCAATCTTTAAAGTTTTGAAAAACAGAGATTGAAATATGATAGGTTGTGCATAATCGAATTTTAAATGACATTTTATCATGACAGATATGACCATGACAGATTTGATATGACATTTTATTAATAAAGTCTTTTATATTCATAAAATATATAAGTTATTTTAATCTATTGTTCAGGTAAGCAGGTAATCTTACATTCCTCGTGCTGAACAGGAAACACATATTGATCACTTGACGTTAATAAAACAATAAACAACCAAGCAATGTAATATCCATGTAATACAAATGGAGAATATGTGTTTTTTGTTGATATTCGTGTTTTTTTAGTTTTGACTTACATTGTTTTGCCTTCACTACCAGCTGTAATATGAATTAGGACTACCGTTAGTGAACTGATACATTATGTGTTAATCTATTTTGTTTCTGATGAAATTTCTGATGAACTAATGAAAAATATCATCCAGATTTTAGCCTTTATATTCTTTTCGTCGTTTTTAGCTCACCTGGCCCAAAGGGCCAAGTGAACTTTTCTCATCACTTGGCGTCCGTCGTCCGTCGTCGTCGTCCGTCGTCGTCGTCGTCCGTCGTCGTCCGTCGTCGTTAACTTTTACAAAAATCTTCTCCTCTGATACTACTTGGTCAAATTAAACCAAACTTGACCAAAATCATCATTGGGGTATCTAGTTTAAAAAATGTGTCCGGTGACCCGGCCAACCAACCAAGATGGCCGCCATGGCTAAAAATAGAACATAGGGGTAAAATGTAGATTTTGGCTTATATCTCTGAAACCAAAGCATTTAGAGCAAATCTGACATGGGGTGAATTGTTTATTAGGTCAAGATCTATCTGCCCAGAAATTTTTAGATGAATCTGACAACCCGTTGTTGGGTTGCTGCCCCTGAATTGGTAATTTTAAGGAAATTTTGTTGTTTTTTGTTATTATCTTGAATATTATTATAGATAGAGATAAACTGTAAACAGCAATAATGTACAGCAAAGTAAGATCTACAAATAAGTCAACATGTTCAAAACTATCAGTTGACCCCTTAAGGAGTTATTGCCCTTTATAGTAATTTTCATAAATTTTGTAAATTTTTGTAAATTTTTACAAAATATTTTCCAATGTAACTACTGGGCTAAGTTCATTATAGATAGAGATAATTGTAAGCAGCAAGAATGTTCAGTAAAGTAAGATCTACAAACACATCACCATCACCAAAACACAATTTTGTCATGAATCCATCTGTGTTCTTTGTTTAATATGCACAAAGACCAAGGTGAGCGACACAGGCTCTTTAGAGCCTCTAGTTCGTTAGTGCCATGGTATTGTCAGTTTGTTTTCGACTTATGAGTTTGAATATCTCATTGGTATCTTTCTCTCTCTTTTGTATTGTCTCAACTAAATATATTAACGTGAAATGTGGGGATGTATTGATCTTTTTATTTGTTCTCACACCGAAAAACTTTCTTAACAAATGTAAAAATAATGTTCAGTAGCTGTCGTTTGTTGATTTGGTTCATAAGTGTTTCTCGTTTCTCGTTTTTTGTATAGACGAGACCGTTGGTTTACCTGTTTGAATGGTTTAACACTAGTCATTTTTGAGGCCCTTTATAGCTTGCTGTTCGGTGTGAGCCAAGGCTCCGTGTTGAAGGCCGTACTTTGACGTATAATTATTTACTTTTACAAATTGTGACTTGGACGGAGAGTTGTCTCATTGGCACTCATACCACATCTTTTTATATCTATATACAAACTCCAAACATGTTCCAATGATGTGTCAGTATGCAAAAGAAGTTTGCAACATTCTTTTTACATCTAGAAAGAAGTGTGATACACATACGACATGAAGACGCCTGTTGATACTTACACTAAAAGTGGTAACCTTGGATACTTGCGATGGACTAGTATTGTTATCTAGTTTGTGACATTTTATTCCAAAATTCTTTATTTCTTCTATAATATAGTAAACATAAAGTATAAACATTGTATAAACATTGTAACAGAACGGCTGAAATATTTCCTCGATATCTTAAAGTGTCATTAACTGCCAAACTTATGCCTACTGATTTGACTCAAACTCCCAAATTTGATATGTTACATACTTAAACCTATACGAGAATTAAAAATGTTCCATTGAAAACAATTATCATTGTTGTTTTTTTTTATCTCAATATTACATTATTCCAATAAAAGTCTCACATAACATTATAATAGAAAAACAGTGCATATAGGGTATCCATCCATGACATAAAATCAGTACATGCACAGCAAAAAAACACACAAAAAGCAAAATGCATTTATTGCTGTTTTTCATTTCAGAGTCACAGTGAGGCCTTCAACAATGAGCAAAACAACTCTCACCTCACTGCAAGTATAAGGCGGCTCCTATTACGCAATATACAACTGTTTCTCAGTTATCAAAACATCTTCTCTAAAATTTTAATATAACCACAAATCAGTATGAATGGATGATATTGTCATGAAACAACAAACGATAAAGCTCTGACAGTTGTCTGCCATATACTGAATAAAATTTCATGTAGGAAATATGTGTTTGAAAAAAACACAACAGTTGGGACAAACAACGATTAAATCAACGTAAAAAATGAAATCAACACTTCTTAAATTCCATCAGGAACGCTCCAAGCCGAATATTTGAAAGCCAAACGGATGGAAAACAACTGTCATATTCCTGACTTGGTACAGGCATTTCCTTATGTAAAAAATGGTGGATTAAACCTGGTTTAATAGCTAGTCACTTGTATGACAGTCGCATAAAATTCCATTATATTGACAACAATGTGTGAACAAAACAAACAGACATAATAGGTTAAAATGTCAAAAATAAGGGTACAGCAGTCAACACTGTGTTATAATTTTAATCACTACAAAAACAAACAAATATGTCAACAAAGAAAAACAAAATGGCATAGAGACAAGGCACATAGGCAAAAATGAAAATAAAATCCAAATGACATTAGAAGAAGAGGAAGAGGTATTATACGAGTCACTATTTGTACACTGAAAAGATCTTCAAATCATATGTTAATTTCATTGATTAATGAACAGGTTAATATAATCTGGAAAATTTAGTACAACAGAAATGTCTCATCTGATGTCACTGTGACGACATTGACATGTCAAATTTAAGATGTCTGACCTAAAATTGCCATTTTATACGTAGCCTTTTTTCACATTTGAATCTTTGTAAGAAACGAAATGAAGCACAATTTATTTTTGGGTAAAAACTTGGCTCATATATATGCATTACTGACGCGACCTTAACCTATTGGAAGTTTGGACAGTCTTTCACAAAATACAAGAAGTTTAAATAAAAAAATGAGAAAATGTGGTATGATTGCCAATGAGACAACTCTCCACAAGAGGCCAAATGACACAGAGATTAACAACTATAGGTCACCGTATGGCCTTCAACAATGAGTTAAACCCATACCGCATAGTCAGCTATAAAAGGCCCCGAAATGACAAATGTAAAACAATTCAAGGGAGAAAACTAACGGCCTGATTTATGTACAAAATAATGAACGAATAACAAAAATGATATACAGCAACAAACGACAACCACTGAATTACAGGCTCCTTACTTGGGACAGGCACATACAGAATGTGGCGGGGTTAAACTAGTTTGAAGGCACCAACCCTCCCACTAACCTGCGAGAGTGGTGTAACAGAGGTTTTAAGTCATTTGTGGTGACGAAATTGCTGACTTAATAATTTACTAGTAATACATAGATTACGTTCATTTAAATCCAAAACGTCACAACAGACACGGGCATAGCGAACGAGTTGCGATGTATAAACATCGTCGGATGGTGCCAAAGGAACATCACCGTTCAAAAAAGGAAGATTAACAAAAGGGAATGACAAATTGTCCCTTTTGTCGTAAATTTTAGGGTAGAGTTTCCCGTGTAAAACTGTTTAAAGTAAGTTCCTCTGGGTAAATTTCGACAGTGTATTTAGAAAATTTTTGATTATTTATCGAAAGATATCATCAAGATATCGATAAGTGTTGTTGAATGTATCAATTAAATGCAATTTAGACGGGTCTTTACTTAGTTTGGTCATAAACTGTAAAGTCCATATTTAATTAACGTTCGATAACCTCAAATAAAATGAATACTGATGAATGATATGTCTTACGAACATCTAAAGTATGTTATCTGGCAGATGAACATGTCTAATACACTTTGATTTCCGAATTCAGGAGGAGCAGCATAAAGTGGCTTTATGCTGTCTTTTTAATATCAAGTTGATATTCAAATCTTGTTAGTCAATAGAAACTGACATAGCCATGGCAAAAAACAAAAGACGACGGAAAGACAAATACTATAACAAAATAAAAACAAAAAACGACATCGAAAATTAATGATTGACCAATACGAAAAAGGTAAAATAACAAAAATACTGAACTCCGAGGAAAATTCAAAAAGGAAAGTCCCTAATCAAATTGCAAAATCAAAAGCTCAAACACATCAAACGAACGATAACAACTGTCATATTTCTGACTTGGTACAGGCATTTTCTTATGTAGAAAATGGTGTATTGAACCTGGTTTTATAGCTAGCTAAACCTCTCACTTGTACGAACCTCACCAAAAACTGGGAATGATCTCTGTAAGGATAAACTTATTAATTTAAAAAAAAATAGATATTATAATCTGTGTTAATATATATATATATATATAAAAATTGCGGTTTTTATCCAACGCAATCATAGGTTTGAACGTTGTTTTCAACTTAGACTTGTTTATATTTTTTCGTTTGGGCTTGTATTGTATTTGCCTTCGGGTTTATATGATCCGTTCATCCTATTTCGACTCTTCAAAATTCAAGAGTCAATCCCAAATTGAGGTAAATTATATGGCCTTCCAAATACCGTTTCGATTCCCAACATCACTAAAGAGACATTAATTGTCGAAATCCGGATATGGTGTACAAATTTTTGCACCTCATGTTTGCGGTATACCATCTTTTTCGCAAGTTTATTGTTTTCTGTTTGGTATTAAATTAATATAATTAAGATCCATTGTGTTACATCTGTGATCCGTTTATTTGGCAATCGCCATGAGAGTCAGCAGGGTTTAAGAACATCCGTTGTTCGACCTGCTAGTCAAATGCGTTTTGTTAAAATATACTTTTTCACTTTTTTGGTCTTTTGGAAAATGTTGTTTGTGCTGTATTTAGACCCCTTTACAAAGAAATTTGTTTTGCATGCACACGTATAAAAATTGCGGTTTTTATCCAACGCAATCATAGGTTTGAACGTTGTTTTCAATTTAGACGTGTATATATATATATATATATATATATATATACATAAAGTGCCTAGAAAATCAACCTTATGAAGTTAGAGTAGATCTGTTTCTTAACTTCCTCCCCGAGCGGGGCTCGAACCTGTACTTTTTATTTCTAACTTCTACGACAACACCGCCTAGAATTGCGCAGACACCTTATCCCCTCCTCTAACTATAGCTGATATATATATATATTTTTTCACTTTTTAGTCTTTGGAAAATGTTGTTTGTGCTGTATTTAGACCCCTCTACCAAGAAATTTGTTTTACATGCACACGTATAAAAAATGCGGTTTTTATCATACGCAATCATAGATTTGAACGTTGTTTTCAATTTAGACTTCTTTATATTTTTTCGTTTGGGCTTGTATTATACTTTCCTTCGGGTTTATATGATCCGTTCATCCTATATCGACTCTTTAAAATTCAAGAGTCAATCCTAAATTGAGGTAAATTATATGGCCTTCCAAATACCGTTTCGATCCCTAACATCACTGAAGAGACATTTATTGTCAAAATCCGGATATGGTGTACAAATTTTTGCACCTCATGTTTGTGGTATACCATCTTTTCCGCAAGTTTATTGTTTTCTGTTTAGTATTAAATTAATATTAAGATCCATTTTGTAACATCTGGTGATCAATTTATTTGGCAATCGCCAAAGGCAGTCAGCAGGGTTAAAGAACACCCGTTGTGCGACCTGTTAGTCAAATGCGTTTTGTTAAAATATACTTTTTCACTTTTTTGGTCTTTTAGAAAATGTTGTTTGTGCTGTATTTAGACCCCTCTATCAAGAAATTTGTTTTACATGCACACGTATAAAAATTGCGGTTTTTATCCAACCCAATCATAGGTTTGAACGTTGTTTTCAATTTAGACTTAATTCGTCTAAATAACAGTCCAATAATGTTATATCTGTAAATTTGCGGAAGCAAATTTTTGTTCTTCCCTGGCCGGGATTCGAACTCATGCTACTGAGATATCGTGGCACCAAATTTTCCTTGTATCACCATCACTGGTGATCCAACGGATAAAATCTGTCGTAGAGTTGTCACTGGTTCAGACGTACTTATATATATATATATATATATATATATATATATATATATATATATATATATATATATATAAGTGCCTATAAATAGCAGCACATGACATACAAATCTATGGGAGTGTGGATTAATCAAGGCAGCTAAATTCAAGTGCAACATATACATTGAGCTGCAAAAGTTTCTTATCATCTACATCCGATTTCACCTGGATAGATGCACGCTTGATAAAGCTAGTTAGTCTAGCGAAATATTGCGTTTATTTTTATCATTTTGTAAATATTTTAAACATTCTTATATTTACATACTAAATAGTGTGTTAAAATTAAATTGTTAGGCAATCTATATATATATATATATATATATATGTACATATATACTCATATTCATATATTTTGACAATATCTCATACCCTAGAATAATATTAGAGTTTTTAAGTTGTTTGCTCAGATGAGGTTATAAAGAATATTCTTTTAAAAAAAAATATAAGTAAAAGGCAAAAGGTTTTGATTTGGAACAGCGTGAGCGATATAGTTTTTTTAAACAAACTGTTGTTACAGCCTTCATAGCTTATTCCAGCTATAAGGGTTTTGTAATACTTACAAAGTTTTCTTATAAAGGTAAATGAGAAAAAGTATTCAATCTTAAGTAATTATATTTTCTTAATTATTCATAACAAGTTCTCTTATTTGGTTACATGAGAAAATTATCCTACACCAGATACTTTTATTGTACAGTACCAGAAGTATTGTTACAATTTTGATAAGAAGAATTTTAACGTACATATTAACAATTCTACCAACACATTTGATATTTTAATTCAGTACTATATGTACTTTTATGTAGATAAGCTAAGTGCATATGAAATGATTTAAAAGTTAAATTCAAGTTTGCCAAAACGTAGTCGTTTTTACAATTTTGAATGTGTAATTGTCATATTTCACCGTGATTAAGTCAGTATCAAAGCAACAGTCATTTATTCTAATTTATATTACCTAGACTCAAATTCCTTTCAATGGAAATGCTACATTTTGTTAATAACATGTAAAGTCTGCTGCAAATATGACCAATATCCTCCAAAAAATAGTTCTGAATAAATCTTAGCAAGATGCCAATGTCTTTAGGTTGAAAATGATCTTAAATAGGTTTTCGGTTAATTTCATTCTCGTTTTGTTTATAAATTTCCATTCAAACTTGTGACAGAGTAGATATTTATATACATGTTATCTGTACTATATGTACGAACAACAGATAAAATATAAAATATCTACCAGCAGACATTAACTTGGAAAAAAATCACACGATCCTGAATTCCTTAGAATTTCGACAGCTAAAAATTAAAAAAAATGACCCATAAAGCTGTTCAAGAGGTAAGTCTTTTTATAAAGTTAAAAACACATTTGAACAATAGCATATATATAATTTCATTGAATGTTAAAATTTAAACATGTGACCTACTTATTTTATTTAAGTATAAGTTTATCTTTTTGTCATATCTATTTCCCGGAAGAAGTAATCGATTGTTGGAGTGCAGGTATGAATAATATTATTTTTGTGTTGTTAAAAAATCAAGGAAAATATGAAACATCAATAGAATACTCTTGAAACATATCATTAAATAACATCGGTCAAGGATTTGTACGTTAACAGCAGGAAACCTGTCCTGGAAGTCCATTCTTTATTTCGTTAGATAACCGAAAGCTAAAGGTAAAATATTAAAATATGTAAATTCTAGCGTTGCTTTTAAAGTCATGTCTTGATAAATATAAACATTTAGAAAAAAGAACATAAGTACGCATTTTATTTTTTTTTAATTCCTTGTAAATTATAGGTCTTCTCGGAAAACGTAAAAACAGACTTTTGAAGTGCAATATATGAATAATCTGCTGGTTTTTAATAGCTAATATTATATACAATTGTGATCTTCCTTTCAAATAAGCTGCTTGGAATAGATATGAGAAAGTTAGTAATTATAAATATGACTGTATATTTGTGTGTGTTTGTGGTGTGTAGTGTGTGTGTTCATGTGTGTGTGTGTGTGAGTGTGTGTGTGGCTATTGTTTGTCTTGAAAAATAATTGAAACACGTAGCTAAGGACTGAGGTAGTTGAGGTAGTCTTTAACGAAAAATTAAATTACTTGTTGAATTCATTGAACTAAAACATAATTGTCTCGGTCTCGTTTTGTAGTGATACCATTAAACATGAACAACGATAAAGAAATATCAAAGATAAAATAGTTTAAAATCAGACTGTTTCTGGAGCCTTTTTACCAGAAATGTATTTAACCCAAAAGAAAAATACAATAATGACATTTAAAAATATTAACTTGTGAGAGAAATGTGCTATCAAAAAATATAAATAAAGGATGATGTCACGATGGACTTCAATAAAACAGCAAACCATTGTTTCACTTAAACTTTAAGACAACTATTTGTCTACATACGGTCTTCAAGATAAAGATATTGTTTTTACAGTAATTCAAAATTTGAATCGCTCCTTACTTCGATAACTATTTTCTAATTTTAGATTTTGACATTTGATAAGGGACTTTCCGTTTTGAATTTTCCTTGGAGTTCGGTATTTTTGTTATTTTACTTTTTTTCTGTTATGTATCCATCAACCGCAATGCAAAACTACACTCAGTCAAAATATCACAGTCGGAATCGGACTCTATCGGTAAAGTTACAGATGAGATGATTATTTTTGTATCTAAAAAATTATCACTACGAAAACATGTCGGCAGTTAGTTGATACACAGACATATCGTATTCGTGATGATGACAGTAAAAGAGAGGCGAAAGATACCAAAGGGACATTCAAAGTCATAAGTCAAAAATAAACTGACAACGCCATGGCTATAAAACATACGAAGTGTTATTTTGAGTCATTCTTCCTAATGACTCTTGCAGTAGTTTTTGTGGAAGGAGCATACCACTGCTAGTGCAGTCCGTATAGTAATACCACGCACGAGCGTAAGGTATCAATTGAGGTATGTTAACGCCATATGTTTGGGCAGGTTGTATTTTCAAATTGGAAGTTGACATATCATTACTTTTATCATAAATTCTAGTCTGAGATCGTCCATCTGTGTCCATATCTGTAAGTAAATAAAGATATGAATGAGACCTTCAAGTGTCGATAGTATCATTAATCTCAAGTGTATTCGGATATATATTATGCAAGCTCTCACTCAAATGTGAGGAATTCAGAGACTAGACATCATCAATATATCTTAAAGTGAAATTAAACACCGTTGCAAGATTTTTTTTTCTTTTTGTCTTTGAAAAGGTTTTGCAGGAATTTGGCTTCGTATTAGTAAAAAAACAAAGTACTGTTGCACAATTAATACCTATTTGAAAACCACTGTCTGTTTATATATCAAGTCAGGAAACTCACCATATTGTTGCTGATAAAATTTCAAGCATTTTGATGAAAATATCTTCGGTGTATTTGTTTTTGGAACCAGTGCAGTTCTTCAAAACGTAAGATCTTAAATGACTTAAAAGAACAAAAGTTAATCAACGAAATCTTTTTTTTTGTAAACCATATGAAAATAGGGAGATGTGGTATGAGTGCCAATGAGACAAGTATCCACCAAAGTTCATACGAAGTGGATGTAATCAATTATAGGAAACCGTACGGCCTTTAACAATGAGAAAAATCCATACCGTATGGTCGGATATGAAAGGCCTGGACATGAAAAATATGAAACAATTCAATTGAGAAAACTAACAGCCTAATTTATATTAAAACAATTGATGAAAAACAAATATGACAGACATGAACCAACGACAACCACTGAACTACAGGCTCCTGACTTTGGACAGACACATAAAGAATGTGGCGGGGTTAAATATGGTTGTGAGCGCTCAACCATCCCCTAACCTTGGACAGTGGTGTAACAGTACAACATAAGAACAAACTATACAAATCAGTTGAAAAAGGCTTAGCTCATCAGATCGATACAAATAGAAATACATTTAACAAAAATAAAGAGTGGACGTGGACGGATACTTATACATCCACACAACAAAAGGACACTAAGTACAGATCTGAGAGTACTCGCAGTTACTGACAGCTAGTTCAAAGCCAATAACAACCAATAAAAAACATGTATCTAAGACTAAAATATCAATCAGTTCACATCCAACATCGAATGGATTCAGTGTAAGACGTCATTAACAGTCAGAGCAAAACATGACCTTGTGCAATGCCACATTACAGGTATCGACAGATTGTAGTTCCGTGAAAGTACATATGTGTAATATTTAGTATGGTTTTAATTTACTGATAATAAAATCAATATTTATACCAATAAAAACAATATACAAAGAATTAATTACAGTAACCTTTTAGTATAAGTTTATTCAAAGGATTGATAAGTTTACCCGGATCGTATCTAAATTCCGGGCTCGTTTTACAATATCCCCGTAAAATTTTGGATGTGCTATTCCGTTTGAAATAAGTTTTCTACAGGTACAACCAAACTTGCAAACCAAATCTTTGTATATATGGAAGAATTTAGTAAAGGTTTTAAGTAATTTATGGTAACGAAATCCCTGACTTAATAATTTACTAGTAATACATATATTACGCTCATTGAAATCCAAAACGTCACCACAGACACGAGCATAGCGAACGAGTTGGGATATATAAACACCGTAAGACGGTGCCAAAGGAACATCACCGTCCAAAAAGGAAAAATTCACAATAGGGAAAGAAAAATCATCTCTTTTGTCGTATTTTTTTGTATAGAGTTTCTGTTTCTTATATGCTGTTTATTAAGAATATGTATTCGATATAGCAATTGAGCATGCAAAGAATGGAGCCGCTCATCATTTCACTTTTCAACATCACACTTAGCATTTTAATTGTTCTAAACGATTCATCTCTTTGTCGTGAAAAAACAGAATTAGATGTGATTTTACATGTAAGCGTTCACAAACATATTGAACCTCCCAACATTCTATATGCGGTCATAAGTCCAGAGCCTATAATCACGGGTAGTAACCTTGTCATATCGAGAAGCGTTTAGTACAGTGATTTTGTCATAGTTTGGTTAAGATGAACATGGTTGTGTTAAGTTACTTCCCCGAACGATTGCCTAAGTTTTATTCAAACGATCAAATAAAAAGCAAATAAGATGTTTTAATTTGCATTGTTAGTCAAACGATCTACATTGGAATTGTTGTTTTCAAGAAACTAACGCAGAATAAGCAAACTATCGAAATTGCTATGGTTTGGTTAAGTTATGACATGGTTCGGTTAAGTGTCTAGAAATTCGTCATTGTTTTGATCAAGTTTGTCATGGTTTAGATCCAAATTAATATATATGTGTTTCAGCTCAATATTGATAGTTTGTTTAAAAACGCTTGTAATTAAACGAAGTTACACAATTTACCAACTGACTAAGAAGAAACCAAAATTAGATGCTGTAATTGGCAAAGCGTACATTAAACAATTTAACTGTTCATGACTTGTCTTTGTATGCAAATCGTACTACTACGAGTGTCTTGTAAAAGAATTAGGAATAAATGAGCACTCATGTAATCCCACATACAAAAACATCACTTGACAAGGATGAGATTTTGGTGATTCACAAGTCCTTAAAAGCTTCAATGAACATTACTTTGAGCAGCAAATCGGAGGACTTACCTTGTTTTATTGGATACCTAAGCTTGACAAAATTCCATACAAACAGCCGTACATTGCTAGCTCATCTGCATGTTCGACAAAAGAATTGTCCATTAGATTGACAAAGATTCTTTCCGCAATGAAAGAGGGTTTTCAGGAATACCGTGAAACTGTTTACTCGCGTAGTGGTATTAACCATATATGGATTTTAAAAAACTCTTAAAGAACTTCTGAATAAATGTAAATCGTTTAATTTTTCAACCCTGTGTACCACCATTCCCTATGTGTAATTGAAAAATCGTCTAAAAGAAATAATTTAAATCTACAATGCTTTTCAACATAAACATGGTAGCGCACGCTATACATTTATTACTTTTGGATACCTTACGGCATATTTTATTAATAGTGAACAAAAAAATAAAACATGCTACACAGAGGAACAAGTGACCAGTATGCTGGAGTTTCTTATTGACGAAATATTTGTTGAATTTGGAGATAGACTTTGTCACCAAATTGTCGGTATTTCTATGGGAGCGAACTGTGCGGCAACGACCTCATCTTACCTTCATATTAGTCGGAGTTCCTTCAGACATTTGTAAAAAACAAGAAGATCAAAGAAGCCAGATCATTTAATTTCAACATTCATATATATTGTTCTTTCCATTAACAATCCAGACTTTTCTGATTGAATTCCATTAATAATTCCCCCGGAACTAAAAATTAAAGGAACATCAGACACGACTTCCTCTGCCTCATTTTTGGACTTATATCTCGAATTTGACATGAGCGGTCATCTTAGTACCAGAATCTATGACACACGAGACGATTTTAATTTTAAAATTATCAGTTTCTCCAACCTTAGTAGCAATATACCAACTTCTCCTGCATATGGGATATACATTTGCCAACTCATTCGATATTCAAGAGCTTGCAAATGCTACTCAGACTTTGTAAACCGTCACCAGTGTCTGAGCAGAAAGTTGATGAACCAGTGGTATGTCAAAGAACGTCTCGTCCTTTTTCCAAAACAGTTCATCGGAAGACCTTGTGGGTAAATATTCCTTTTCAACTTCACAAATGATAAACAATGGTCTTTAAGTATAGATTCTTCTAAGTACTGACGTTATTTGTCACCTTAATGACGTGTTATGGTACTCTTTTATTTGTCTTTGTAAATTATTACTTTAACTGTTTAGTCTATTTTTGGCCCAATCCATTTGACGTGGCTCGGTACTTATACATCCCGTCATTGTGTTATTGTGCTATGGTGAATTTATGTATTCTTGTCTTTCGTTTTTGCTTATGTGCTTTGTCTATATGCCTTTTTGTTTTTCTTTGTTGAAATATTTGTTTTGTTTTTATAGTGACTAAGATTATAACACAATGTTGCCTGCGGTACCCTTATTGTTTGATATTTTTACATATTATGTCTGTTTGTTTTGTTCACACATCGTCGTCAAAATAATGGAATTTTATGCGACTGTCATACATGTGAGAGATTAAGCTGGCTATAAAACCAGGTTTAATCCACCATTTTCTACAGAAAAAAATGTCTGTACCAAGTCAGGAATATGACAGTTGTTATCCATTCGTTTGATGTGTTTCAGTTTTTGATTTTGCCATTTGAATAGGGACTTTCCGTTTAGAATTTTTCTCGAAGTCCCGTATTTTTGTCATTTTGCTTTTATAATTTCAATAGTCACTGCTGTTTTAAACTATATTTGAGATAATAATTACAAAAACAGAAAGCCCTGCTTCTGTTTCACATAGATTATTTTCTCCGTATGTCCATGATTGACTCTGTCGATGATATCGTGAGCGGCATCACTTATAAAATTTGTATAAACGTCTACTTCAAGTTGCAAAACGTATCAGCTAGTCAAAAAGTAATTTTTGTTCTACTTTTTTTTTCTACTAATTGTTTTATTTTGAACCAGTCTATGATGAATAAAAGGAGATGTGAGGTTATACGCCCATGCTATAGTATCCCAACTACAAAACTAACCAAACGATATCAAGAGGACACAATGAGTCTTCAACCATCCAAGAAACAAATAGTTAACGCGTGACATGGACAACAGTTAAAACTTATTTGTTTTATAAACTATTAGTAAAATTAAAATAAAAAAAAAAAAATACACACACGTTCAGAATTTAAATATATGAAAAATCACATTCCGAATTAGAATGAAGCCGATTTAATGTCCACTTTAATCAATTATTATTACGAACGAATAAAAATGATTAAGTTTTTGTAATATTGTATAATACATTGGTTTTCTCATTTATTTTTTTTTTACATATAATTTGTCAGAGCCTTTTATAGCTTGCTAAAAGGTATGGATTTTGTTCATTGTTGAAGGCCGTACGACGACATATAGTTGCTTACATCTACGTCATTTTGGTCTCAGATGGATAGTTATCTCATTGGCAATCAGACCGCATGTACTTAATATATATAATACTAAATTGAATGTGCGTATATATGTCCTTTTGTATTCCAAATAAAACGATTTAAAAAAGAGTATTTCCATATATATAATGTCTGTTTATTTTGATCGTTACTCTTCCTTCATTCACGAATAGAATCACATAACTGAACCATGTTCAACATGAAATAAACCATGACACGAATCAACCAAACCATGACACCAAATATTCTGTAATCTCAAATTGTGTGCACTAGGGGCTGCTTTTCGGGAAAATTGACGGCAGTTTTATATCATAACAAAATATGTGATGTAGCAGACAGTAAGCAAACCACTTTTCTTTATGCATTAGAAACGAATCACAACTTTTAAATTTTTACACACGCAAGCATTATTCTGTGTCAAATTAATAATTATATGATACAAATTTTGATGTACTAACATATTAGCTATAAACAAAGATACATACCAGCTTGAATTTGTTGTCATTAGTTCCTTTATCAAACTATATTTTGACACTGTTTGTCATCAAAAACACTTAAAACATACCATGTTCATCTTAACCAAACTATGACAAAATCATAGTACTAAACGCTTCTCGATATGACGAGGTTACTACCCGTGATAATCAGATGTTGTCTATGATTGTTGTCTGTCATATTCGGTTTTTATTTGTCATTGTTGTTTCATCAATCAGACCGTTTTTTTTTCGTTTGAATTGTTTTACATTTTGTCATATTGGGGCCCTTTATAGCTGACTGTAAATTTTTTAAAAATCGGTCGTGCTCCATGGACTTGACTTTCTTAATATTAAAAAAGGTCTTGTTATCGCCTATTTCTATTGTGCATTTTCAGTTAGTACAGCAAGCGTTCCTACAATTTTGATCGGAATAGTTTTTAAAGTACGTAGAGGAGGACTAATCATTTATGACATTCTTGATTTATTTTTTTCAACGTGAACAGAAAAATGGTTATGCTAAGTGCATAATTACGTACTCACTGAACAGTTCTCATAAAATGTATTTACCTTATACATTTTGCTATACATTGGCTGAATAGGAGGAGGCACGAGACGCTGAAATTTATAACGTGTTATTTTCATTTTTTACAAATGTTTGATACATTTTCAGGATTAAAACCATTTATTCATAGTACAATTATTGTCTAAGTTAAATTCTCCAATTTCAAGCATTCATATTCATTTTCTTGTAAGTTTAAATAAAGTGACAGTCTTTTCATGTCAAAACTATTCCTTATCCTGGCTTGTGGTAAAAAAATAAACATACCTTTTATTTCATAAAAAAGCACACTAGTTCCCAAAAAGTTAGTAGCACAGGTACTTCTGATCTGAGCAACAGGCAAATTATACCCTCCTACTAGTATTTCAAATTTGTTTTTGAAGTTGAACAAAAATGTCAACAAGGTCTCTACAATGATCCCAAGTCCATTAAAGACCTACACTGAAGAAGGCTATTTGTTTTGCAGAAATAATGGCAATCTATATGATATTAAGTTTACTTATTTGTATGTGTTTCTTTTATATATTTGTATAGTTGAATAGTCCACTTATCCTTAAAATCTGAGCAAGGATACATGTTTCGTAATATAAATATACGAAACCGAATTCATTTCAGAGGTTACGGGTTCGTTCATTAGTTGGTTCAATGTCTGTTAGATCATTGGTTCATTTAAGTAAAATACACCATGTCATCGATCATACCTTCTCAGACTTTAGTTTTATATGCTGTGTTTTGTAGAAATTGTTGTTTATCTTTTGGTCGTTTTTCGTTGTTTCTAATGGCGATCTTCGACTTATAAGGATGAATATCCCTTTAGTATTTCACGTCTAATTTCTCCTTTCACTGCAGTATTTAAGATAAAATTTGAAAATAAAGAAATATCATATAGGTAAGCCGACAATTCCTACGCTACATTGGTTTCTTCAGAGAGGGTTCCTCGTGTTTTTGATCATACCTTCAGATCAGATCTGTTTTTGACAGCTATATGCATTTGTACAATAGAAAGTGGAAATTTAATACAGGTCTTTATACCATTTAACTTGAACCAACTTTAGGTTGGAAATTAAAGTCAGCTCTGTGACGAAATTTATATAAACACTTATATCAGTTTTAGCCTAATCCTGCTACATGTATTTTTGATAGCGTAACATTAAGTAAATTGTTAATTTACTTTATTGAATTAGAAAATCAAGACAAATTGGATGCTTGTCTTTATAAAGGAGAAGGAAATACAAAAGCAGTTCCCAATACCTATGAAACGGAGAGGTACTTACATAGTTTAGTATTCTTTTTCAGTTATGTACATACACGCGCCATTTTTACATGGAAAACATCTAACAATTAATTAAACTAAAAGCTCATCAAAATGCCTTATATTAAATTGAATTAAATTAGGTTTTTTTTAGTGTTGATTAGTAATTACGTTAAAATACCCCCTGTACATTATAGCAGATTCTCAACATTTTAACTGTAAAAATACAGCAATTGATTACTTTTTATTTTCTTTGTCTATTTTAAGAGAATGTCATTTCATTTTTTTTTTTGGCATGCCAGAAACTTCGTTAAATACTTATCAAATGAAAATGAAATGAATTGTCTTCCTAAAGAAAAGGATTTGTTTTTTTTTCAAAATTGAAAACTTAACACTCTACTGATATATTATTACATTATCATGGAATTCTTTCTATTCATCTAAATAAATTTTCTCTCATAGTAACTCAGGGCAGGCTAAAATTTCAAGAAGCCATTTGAAGCAAGAAAAGTATTCAATTAGTTCTGGAATAGCAGTAGTAATCAACAACGAAACATTCGAAAGAGATTTAAGATTACCGGATCGTATTGGAAGTAGTAGTGATGCAGCATCCCTATACCAAAGTTTCCAAGAACTTGGTTTCGAACATGAGCTATTATCTGATGCCAGTAACAGTGAAATGAAAGAGAAATTTGAAGAGAGTAAGACTAAAAATGTATTATTCTTGAATGTCCCGTTTTTAAACCAGAGTTAACCTATATATAATTCAACTTGTGGCATGTAGTTCATGATAATAAACTCATATTCTCTGCTAGGTGTGTTTTCCACGCGTCATCCGTCGTCTGTAAACAACAAAACTTATTTAATCGTAAGTCACTGTAAGTTACCAACAACAAATGCACAATTATTGCTAAAAAATCTTGACTAAATAAAAATTTTAAATTGTAAACGTGTTAAAAAAAAGAGAGGAACACTACCATATCTCAGCATTGCGACCGTTGTCATTGCAAATAGTCTAGTAAGGTTGTATGTTTCTCAGACTGTTTACGACGTGTTTACACTAATTCAATCGGATGTTTATTGAATATTACTTTAGTCTGGCAGAACATGACTTATTTATTAGACGTAGTTGGCTTTGAACAAGCTTTCAGTAACTGAGAGTACTTCAGTAACTGTGAGTACTCTTTTATCGGTGCTTTGTGTCTATTATTTTTATGTTAGTTGTTCTTTGTACTTCGTACCGATCTATTGAGTTAAGCCAGTTGTAACTGATTTTTGTTTGTTCTTATGTCGTTCTGTTACACCACTGTATGAGCTTAAGGTAAGGGTTAAGGGCTCACAAACATGTTTTACAGCGCCACATTCTTTATGTGCATGTCCCAAGTCAAGAGCTTGTAATTCAGTAGTTGTCGTTGTATCAATTCTGTCATAATTGTTTTTCATAACTTGTATTGTTATTAATAAGGTCGTCATTACGTCATTAAGGCGTTAGTTTGCTCGTTTAAATTGTTTCACATTTTGCATGTCGGGGCCTCTTATATAAAGTAAGGAGATGTGGTATGATTGCCATGATTTTTATGATTTTCCATAAAGTTCAAATGAAGTGGATGTACGCAATTATAGGCAACTGTACGGCCTTCAACAATGAAAAAAACCTCATTAAAGGCCCCAACATGAAAAATTGAAACAATATATAACCGTCTATCCGGTATGAGTTTTTCTCATTGTTGAAGGTCGTATGATGACCTATAATTGCTTATATCCACGTTATTTGAACTCTGGTTGATAATTATTTATTTAACAATCACATCTCGTCTACTCATTTTCATATAGTAAAATACGTAAATACTAATATTGGTCAAATCAAGATGGAACTTATCTCGCCTAAGAAAATACACTTTGATGTGTTTGAGCTTTTGATTTTGCCATTTGATAAGGGACTTTTCGTTTTGAATTTTCCTTGGAGTTCGGTATTTTTGTTATTTTACTTTTTATGTCACCCCATAAAACACTTTGATGTCAATTATTTGTTGCTATGAGTTATCGGATAGATGAACTTATTTGTATAAACATTTGTTAGCTTAAAACACTCGTTTCTGTCATGGTAATGCCTGTTCAAGAATGGTTCCTTTCTTAAGACATAAAATACATCGTAATATATTACACATTTACGTAAGCAAAGTGTGATAGTGTTTCATACAGGATAAAGTTTATTGATTTTTTGATAGGCATTGGCAAATATGTCATGCATGACATTTCAATTTTTCGAAAGAAAGATATTGCTGCAAAAAAGTCCATAGTCTTGTTTTATTTCAATATTCAAAAAAGATTCTTTTGTTTCAAATCTTAACTTGAAAACATAATAGAATTTGCATAAATGCTTAGCTGAAATATATGTTTATGTTTGTAGTTAAAAATGACAAGGAACAGTTAGAGAAAACAGGCTGTCTGATTGTAGCTTTGTTGACACATGGAGATGAGGACACTGTGTATATGACAGATAGATCTATTAAAATAACAACTGTGATGTCCTTCTTCAGTGCAGTGAACTGTCCAGAACTTGCTCTGAAGCCAAAAATTTTCATTTTCCAGGTTAGATGATTTAATTTTCTATTTGCAAGAAATTAATACTTTTTATGCATTGTATTTTGCATGAGCTGCACAAGCCTAATTTTTGGATATAACGGATTTGGTTTTTAAGAATTAAAACGTGTTATATATGTATACTTGATTTTTTCTGAAATTTATTTCTACTCAATTTAACAAGGTCCTATCCAGGTTTGGCATGTTAGTCAATTTTGGCGTCTGCATAATTAGTACATCACTCGGCAAAGTATACAAAATTTGTACAGCAAAAACAAAACTGGAGACCATTTCATGAAAAATTTTACGTAATTGACAGATATATTAAAGCTTATGTATGTCTTGGATATACGCGAAAAAAACACAGCTTGTTACGCATCGTCTCATCATAACATATTTACAATAAAACATACAACATTCATACCATTTCAATCTTTGTTTAAAACGTTTTTAAACACGTCATAATATAAAATGTTAAAACTTTTATACATTTAGATGCCAAAGGTATCTCGTAACTATAATTGTCTGTCCAGTTTTGGAAAATAATTTGTATTTCTAAATGTGAACATTTTAGACAGTAATATGTCTACCATATTAACTACTAACCCGCTGCAAGAACAGAACAATGATTTGTCAAGACTATAACGGTTGTATTGCTCTTTCAAGTGTTGTGTGTGTATAATTGTGTGTACATGGAACGACTTTAGTGAGTTTTGTGTTCGTTAGTATTGACTATTGAGAAATAAGTTATGTCTCTGATATCTTGGAGAATTTCATTTTTACATCTTTAATCTACAACTCTTTCACTAGAAAAAACACAGTTTAGTAATATTAGAACAACCAAGAAATATTTTGTTGGCATCTCAGGGATATTATACTGCTGTTGGTCCATATTATATACACCTGTTGTGGTTTCTTAGTGTATTTACCACTACATGGTTATTCCTTAAGAAACAGAGTCCTTCAACATTAAGCTCATCATGATTTGCATTTTATAGTTAAGCAGTTTACATAAGGTCTTGTATATAGGTCAATTGGGTCATTGTTCTTATCCATGTTGGCCCGAGAACACAGTTATTTCGTAGTGCATTTCTTTTAGACAATAAATTAAAATTGAAAATCGCACCTGCTTATCTCAAAAAGATTTCTAAAGTGTAGTGTACTATTTTTGGGACAAATAATATTAAAATTATAGAAAAGTCTACCGGCTCTAACTCAAAATATGGACAACCCTATGTTAAGGGGGTCCATAATTCAATTTGACAGCTTCAAACCAAATCATTGCTTTACATGAACATTCAGCACCCAATTTTTTTAACATGCACTTTCATCCCCCTAATTAATATTTCATGCATAAAATATAAAGAAATAAATTTGGAAAGTGTATGAAATATATTTGCAAAATATACTTTGTCCACACTAGGGACTATATTTGTAGACAACAAAAATCAAAGGACGATAACTGTGTCCTCGAACCTAATTGTTTGTCGAAGGTCATTGTCTTACAGGTACCTAGTATATACTAGTTGGTGCTTTTCATCAAAAAAGATCATGTGTTTATTTTAATGTTTGCCGACAATCAATTAAATAAAATTAACGGTAACAATTTTATTCACATGAATTTAAGATGTTGGATAGGACCATTTTATTTGAAAGTTTACTAGTAGTATATTCATTGTTTCTGTCAATGCATTGTGTTATTTTAATTATAGACCTCTAGAGGAGAGGGAATAGGGCGTGGAGTCAACGTTACAGTCGTACGAGATAAACCAAGAGATCCAAACCAGGCAGATGGCATAGCTGAATATTATGATTATAACAAATCTCATGGAGTACAAATGCGTATACCTAATGAGGCAGATTTCCTAGCAGTGTATTCTACTTCCCATGGTTAGTGTTATATAATAATGATGGCAGTTGCAGAGTATATATTAGTACTGATGTAGCTAAATCAAATAGAGATTCTTTATATGCCTGTCATATGTCAGAAGCCTGTAATCCAATGGTTGTCGTTAATTCATGTATGTCATATTTGAATTCATACCGTTTGCGATATAAAGTTTGATTTCGTGATTATACATGTGTTTATAAGTTGTACCTGGCTTTTAATCAGCTTTCAGTAGCTGAGCGTAATCTTACATTAGTACTTTGTTTTTTGTTGTAATGTTAGATGTGCTTATGCTTCATACCATTCTGATGAGCTAACCCATATCCAATTGCATGATTTTTAAAGTTTGGTTTATTATTGTTTTATTACACCACTGTCCCTGCTAAAGGTAGGGTTGACCACTCACTACGGTTAACAAGTTATTATTTGTCGATGTAAATGTCGTACTCGCCAATTTGCAATGAAAAGTTATTTGATGTTTGAGTATAGATTTTATTTCATTTGAAATGCACATTGTTCATTGTCCTTCACATGTAAAAGATGATAGTTATGTTTTTTGATAAAAAAAAAAACAAACAAAACAAGTACATTTTACATTGGAAATTTAACCAGGCAGTTGATTGGAATTGAAACTCAGCTTTAAAATGTAATGTCCCAAATGTGTAACCTGTTTGCGCAGTTGTTACAATTTTTAGTTTATCGAATTTGAAAATGATAAATAAAACATTTGAAATTTTGGTCCGTAGTTTTTGACTTTTTTATACAAAAATTTCGCTTAAACTTTTGTAATATTTTAAACTTCTTTCTAAATTTTAATAGTATTGGGGTAATTCACTACAATTATACAGTTAAAGAATATTGTCTTTGGTAGTGATTTCTTTTGCCCAAACATACGAAAACAGTTAAAAATATTTTTTTATGAAAATTTGATATATACTATATACCTATATACAAGATTAATATGTAATGAAAATATTTTTTATAAATGACCAAACAGTATATTAAACTATTGATATCAACGTTTCCTGTTATATTTGTACACAAAATAACATGCTGTTATCTCAAACAGTTGATATTCTTTTGACTGAGTTGCATTCTTGGACTATTATAAACTAAAAAAAAAAAAAAATAGAGCACATCATTTTTTCCTCCATTTTAAGATTTTTTTTGGTGTTAATAACGTAATGGAATGGCAAATTTAGTAATTTGTTTTATTTTTAACTGTATCATGAAAATTTCAAATCTTATTATATTATGTAAGCAACAACTAGTATCAGAAAACACTTATTCAAAATTCTAAATATTTCCTGAAAGTTTAACTTTGGAATTACCACGATACAATATAACAGTAAAGCAACGCAATGGACTATAATTGAAACTGGTATTCTCTATTGAATGTATTTATTCTTGTGTTATTCATGCTAATAAATGTTGTTCTGAAAGCTACTAACATTGCAATTACAATCATTAAAAAAAAGATATAACCATTATAATTGCAAGCGTTTTCGTAAAAAAAATATTACTTTGCAATTACCAAGATGCAATTTTTACCTACATTGCAACGCAATAGCCACCTTCATAATTGAAACGGAAGTCATCAAATTGAATCTTATTGTCCAGACGCCTTGACGTCAGACAATAAAAGTTTCTTAATGTTTTTGACATTTCTAGCCATACAAGTCAACATCCAGCGATGTTTAAAGAACAGAAAACAGTATTGTTGATGGAATTTGATTTTTGACATATACTTTCCTATTCTGTAATGATTGCACTATCAACTTGTATAATAATTTTGAAAATACCAGTGCTATTTTTAATAATATTTATTGAGTTGTTGTACATATTAATATATTGTATATTTTTCTAATCTAATAAATAAGTAACTGTGTTTTCTTTCGTTATCATTTACAGATAGCATTGTTAACTTGCTATAAATAAACTTACATATAGAAAATATTTTTATTGCTTTCTAGGAAGAACCAATCGTTTGAAAAAAAATATTAAGCAACAGTAGTTTAACGCTTTCATAATTTCATAACTCAATCAAGAAAAGACAAGTCAAGGTTACCAATAAAAACTTTTGCTTTGGCTTAAATATTGCGACCTCGCGTTACTTTCTCATTCATAGAACCAGCGATCATGGGAGGTTATTTATACAAGACAGTTACTTCGTACAACGCTTTCATACAACACAGATGAAAAGGCAAAACTTGTAAATATATGCGGTTCTCCGAGGTCATATGCATTAATTTATTCGCATAGTTATAACCACAGGTGTGTCCCAATTGTCGCAACCACAATCACGTCCTCTTTTTTTCTTTGGTTGTGGTATCAATGAATTTGTCCGTACCATGAGCAACGCTGCAAGATCAAGGACCTTCGCACCCTTCCAAACATGCCTAGTTTTGCGTAAGGTTCGTAGTTTTCAATGTTGTTTTCTGTAGTCTGTTGTTTGTCTTTTCGTAGTTTTTCGGTGTTTGCCCTGATGATGTCGGTTTCTCTCCGACTTACGAGTTTTGATTACCCCTTTGGTATTCTCCAACTCTTTTTCACATGCGCATGGAACGAAATGACTCAGTCATATGACAGCTTGTTCAAAGCGAAAGACCATATAGGTGTGACAATAATGCGTTGAAAATAAAGCTTTCTTTTGTACTACAGTGGTTAGTCGTTGCAAAAAAGAGTTAATATGCATGAAGACAAATGAATGAGGAAAAAAATAATGCATGGTCTTAATGCCGGATAATTATTATATGCCAGGGTCGCTCATTTTCGTGTTTTCTTTACGTACTTTGGTCAAACGTCCAATCACACCTACCAGTCCCCCAAAACATGCCGTCAGACGTTAAATAAAGCTCTGACCATCTTAGCACAACGGGTTGATAGGGGATATCATATACGATAATGGTCATCCCTGGACTTTTACGTTTTTAAACTTTTAAAGTTTGGCGTATTTTTGGATGCGCAGGATATATAAAATGGTCCTTCATTGTTTAATTGCTATTTTACATAGATGTAGCAAATGTAAAATAAACAATGAAATAATGCAGAGTACAGCTACCAACTTCATGACTAATAACTTGAACAATGGGGTTAGAAACGGCTCATAAATTGAAAAAAAGTAACCAAAGATAATAAGCATATAGTTTGTTACACCAGATTTTTTTCGTCTCCATAATCCTATTATAAAATCAATTGCGCTCGAATAAAACATAGGTGAAAGGTCAAATCAAACACGAAGTAGAAGAGCATTGCTAGTAAAAAGTTCTGGAAAATTGTACCACATACGACTAAGGCCATATACCCCTTAAGGTAGAAAAGCCTTAGACATTTGATATATTTTATTTTTATATATATAAAGCTGTTATAATTAGATTTATAAAGCTTTTGGGTTAATAGAAGTATCAAGTTTAATAAAACCTCAAAAGACAACAAGCAAACAATGCAAAGAATAGTGTCTCGTCTACTCAAGGTTTACAATTGGCACTCGAATGAAAACTGTCGAAAAGCCAAACGAATTACTAAGTTAAAGAGCACAAAAAAAAAACATAAATCCAAAATTTGTTCCATGTCTGTCATAGGCAATCCACGCCTTTTAAATGACCTAATAATTACAACGATAACTGTATATGAAATGATTGCATCAATAAACTTGGGATTATCAACAGTAAGAAAATGTTTTTCACCACGATATTAATGCTATTATTGTTTAAAATGTAGATTAATTTCTTGTTCTTTTTTCTTTCTGACGTTTTTCCATGATAGATTATTCCTAGCAGTAAAGAAGAATCGATAATAAAAAGTGCACAGTTAGTACCAATCTCACCATTCCAAACAAGAATATTGTCAAGCAATAATATTAAAGCCTTTCTGTGCATGTCTAGGAACAATGCTTTTTCGTCTGATTCAACTCAACATACCCAGGTTATTGTTACAACAGATGAATTCAAAACTTTATTCATCAGCTGCCTATCCATTTATTTTATTTTTGTCAGATAATGTGGAAGAAAACTGTATAAAGTTGAAACATTATAATTGTCCATAGAGTTAATTTCACAATCAGACGAACGTACATTTTGTAGAAGAACACCTGGTAAAAGCAATAGTTTGAATATATATCTGTACGTCTCACCATTCATGCAAATCTTTTATAACGTTCCAACACCCTCAGTTTTGTTTCTATGATACAGTTTCATAATGTTCATGTTACTCAGCTCTGTTGTTAAGCCAATATTTGCAGCGATGTTTATAAAATGAAATTAACATACATGCAATTTCGATTTTAGCCATGGCCTTGTCAGTTTGCTGGAAAATCTTGCTTGCATTATGGATCGAGTATTTGACACTTTATGATGTTATAAACAACTCATAACTGTATTAAATCATATAAATTCACAGAGTCAAACAAAAGACAAGCGACAATATTTCCTTTTAAATGTTCTTGGATATATGTCTTACCACAGAACATAGAACAAACAGGCATAAGTGTTTTAGTTTTTCGTGTGATTTGTGTCTGGTTCATTGACGTTAGAACAACATTTCCTTTTTATTCAATATAATCTGCCCTAGGAATGGCTACAGTATAAAATTCAGTAAATTAAATCATGCAAGCTGTTTGAAAAATATGAAAGTAAAAGCATACATCAACAACAAAATTTAGATTTTCATTTTTCTATAATTATCATAACTTTGTCTTGAGCCCACTCAAAAAACAATTCTGATTTGATTCTCATGTATAGTGATTTTTATGTGTTCCTGCTATAACCGAAACAAACCACCCGTGTTTTAACATATTCTTGTCTTAATTCATTGAGAAGATCTTTTTGAAATAACACTTGGCATAAAAATAAATGGATACAAAAAAAAAACAGAGAAAATAAATTCCGAAATTCATAATAAAAAAATTTCTCACTAAAAATATGCAATATATATATACATGCGTACAACAAAATAATGATATCTGAAAAATATAAATCTATAATATCATATTACATAATACAAT